TCCCCATGCTCGATTACCCCCCTGTGCGAACTCCCAGCCCCGTAGCTCAAACTTTGCAAAAAAATCGATAAAATCGATAAAAGTAATCGATAATCCTGAAAACCAATATTGTATTCGGAATCCCCATGCTCGATTACCCCCCTGTGCCAACTCCCAGCCCCGTAGCTCAAACTTTGCAAAAAAATCGATAAAATCGATAAAAGTAATCGATAATCCTGAAAACCAATATTGTATTCGGAATCCCCATGCTCGATTACCCCCCTGTGCCAACTCCCAGCCCCGTAGGTGAACTCAGCAAAGAAATCGATAAAAATCGATAAAATCGATATCGATCGATGACGAAAAGTAGCCTATGACACCCGCCGGGGCCCGTAGCGTATGCGTGCCAAGTTTGGTCCGGATCGGTTCAGAAATGGAATTTTCTATTCGGAACATACGTACACACAGACAGACATACAGACAGACATACAGACAGACATACAGACAGACAAACAGACATTCAGCTTTATATATAAGATAATGCATCAAAATTAGAAATTCAATCACTACTCTTTCTTAAGATATCTACAGTTATTGGCCTCATTTTTTACCGTTCACACTATCAGTATAGAAATGCGTTTCACTTATGTGTTACCTATATTTCTTTCGTTGTTCCTTTTAGGATGCAGTAAATTTTATTGAAACTCAAAAATGATTTTCAGAATAATTTTTCACTTTAAACTAGTTTGCGCGTCCTTTTTTTGATCTACTTCACCTTTTCTAAGTAGTCAGTTTAGTAGTTTTTATTACTCTTCTAGTATATCCAGATATTTACTGCGTTGAAACTCTAAATAAAATCTGCTTTGAGAATGCTTCGTAGTTTTGAAAAATACATATCTATAGCCAAGCAAATTTTTATTATAATAGGTTGGTGCAAAAATAATGAGCGTTTTCCCATTTTCCTCTTTGACTTGCTACAGCTTTCTACAAAATCTATTTTGAAATGTGATAAAGATAAAAAAAATATAAATTGACAAACAAAAAAAGTTTTTTTTCTGAAGTCTTGTTTTTGACAAAACATAACTCCTTTCACACTTTGTTATTATGATTTATAAACCACCTATTTTGTAGCCGCAAGCTAGTAGTACAAATATACATGGAAACAGTTTGGAGAAAAAAGATTAGCGAAGAGGGAAAAATCGAAGTTCAAAAATATCAACTTTTTCAGCATTTTTTTAGTAGGCCTTAAAACCCCGAAGTATAGAATTTTCTAATTTTCTGCGTACTGAACAGCTGGATGTTTTTGCAAAAACTGCTATCAGGACTCCTACCCTCACGCTTACAGAGATGAGAAAAGTTTGAGCGACTGCATTCTACAAAAGAAAGTTATGGGCTTTGAAATGACCACAACCATTACCCATGTTAAGCCGCCGATCTCTCACTTTAGATAACTTTAAAAAATATGGTTAAATATGCATAATGTAGACAATTCCCATTACATATAGCAGCTAAATTTCCTATAAACCATCTTCATTCGCGCTCAAATTCTGGCCAGAAAAATGAATGGAACGAAAATCTGGTTTTGAGTGCGATTTGAAGCTCTATAAGTTCTTAACAGAGTGGGCTAGAAGTCTTTTTCGAAAACCGTTAGATAGAGCATGAAAAGGGCTTTCTAAAAGTATGCTGACCATTAAAAAGAAAGAAGTTTGATGGAGAAAAGTTGTCTTGAAGAAAGCCCTAGGAAAACGCTCATTATTTTTGCATCAACCTAATTTCTTGCATTTTTAGCAACCAAATTTACAGCTAAGATTTGAGCGCTGGATTTCTTAACCTAAGAATGAATTCCTTGATCGAAGAATATATAATTTTTGACAACGTTTTGAAAGAATTATGCTACTTGAAGTCTTTTTTGGGTAATCTGCTTTGACAAATAAATCCTTAACCTTTGAGGACTGTTACGTTCAATTCAAATAGATCAATAGTCACGCGATAACTCGCGTGAACTGTGCAAGATATAAGGTCACCCGGCAATCATGCCTGAGGGTTCTGGATTGGCTTCTGTATTCCAAACTATACTGGTCATTAACGAAGGTAATTAAAATTTTTAAAATTTCACGGTCAGCACTAACTCACCCACCGGCGAAGAAAATAAAAGAAAAGAAAACTAGAATCATTAGATTGTAAAGCTTCTTCTAGCTTAAAATAAGCTTATAGCTTACCGTTGATAGCTAACTTCAGTGGAGTAGCAAATATGGGTTAGAGGACTATATGTCGCCGAAAGTGAGAGGGTCCCGCGCGGACAATGCAGCAAATATAAGCTCCTGCAAGACGAAGGCGGTTGGTTCGAGGTGCGACATGGCTGTGACGCTGCTGTGACGCTGCTGTGACGCAGCCATGTCGCAGCCGCGTTGCACGTCGAACCGACCGCCTTCGTCTTGCAGGAGCTTATACTCAGCTGTGCAAGTAGGATGGTGTATTTGTTCTAGATGTCCGGCGGGACCTCCCACTTTCGGCGACATATAGTCCCCTACCCGCAAATATGGGCATGAAACAGTGCTGACGCTGTAATGCAAAAAATCGTCCATACAGCGATGGCCGGAGCTAACGGTGCGCGCCTTAGTCGGGCGGCGGCCCAGGAGTTCCCAAAGCCTCGCCGCCTTTCCTTGCAGGGGTAGTTAGCATTTTCAATGGGCCTTCGCACCTTTTAGACGGCTCCGCCCACTTGCTCCGCCCGCTAGCTAATCTTATTCCGAGTTGTGCAGGCTTGGAGAATAGTCCCAAGTGTTTTGTTAAATGGATGAATAATGACGGATGGAAGGCGACATATGAGAAGTTATGAAGTCTATTTGTGGGCATCGCTTTGTTGGAAGCAAAGATGCTTCCTTTTTCTCGATTTTCAGCCAAAGAACGTATGTACAGGTGCCTCTGATGCGAAGACATATCCATTGAGCAAGTTGCACAAGTGCAATTTTTGATGAAGTTTCTAATTTTTTCGGGTTTTTGGACAGTTGGATTTTTCTAGTTTGTTGGCTACAAATTCGCGTAGATCAAATTCGATGCAACTTTTTAAAACACTACCCTGTAGAGCTTGCTGCTCTATCGAATCAAAACCACAGAATGTATCCGGAATAAGCGAAATTTGACTTATTGCGGTTTAGAACAGTTTTGAAGCTAGATCTTGACATATTAACCGAATAATTTGAGCTTCTCATCATTTTTAACAACTTTCAATAGAGTTTGAATGCGTTTTCAAACTGTAATTTCCTTTTTTTGGATTCATGCTCTGGTGCTTTTCATGATAATGAATGATAAGAAAGACCCTTTTCTGGAGAGAGTTGATATTTTTGCAATTAATTGTAGCTAAATGTCTGCTGAAATTTTGTAAATTTTCTGTTAGCATGCCAAAACGATTCGTACCTACTATATAGGTCGATGCAAAAGCTCTCGCCTAAATCAAAGAAAATTCAATCACTCACTAAGATTTGAACCTAAGTTCATGGCTTCTTCAGAAAAATAAGTGTGTTTTTTTGTGTTTCAAAGTGTCTTTGCTCATAAACTGCAATAATTAGGAGTTTTGCCTCGCAAGATGAAGATTTTTCTTGAATTTTCGTCGCATGTCTGTGCTATTCCCTCAGCCCGCAGCCTTCGAATGAACCAGTGAAGAAATGGAGTGGGGGCGGGGTTTGACCTCTGCTGCGCAAAGGTGCGAGGAGCCCTCTGGAGTGTGAATGCTGGTGCGAATGAGGTGCTAGGAACTCCTGCGTCCCTTCCCCTTAGTCGCACATATTTGCCTAAGCGAGCGCTACCGTTCATAAGGTTCGCCGCTCCAAAAAACATACTGTACTTAATACAAGAAAGAGAAGGAAAAGATGCATCGAATATTACCTGGACTGTTTAGCCCTTCAAGGTTTACAGGCAATGGTTAGGGCCGTGAATAAAAATTGTATACTTTAAAAATATATTTCAGAAGTACTGAAGTACAAGCAGCAGAATTACAAAAAACTGCACCTGTTTAAGATTGTTTAACCTGTCAGCTATTGAACCATTTTCAGAAGTTGGAAGCTGGGAAGAGGAAGAAGTTCTGTATGGGATACTGCTTGAAGTATTTATTTAGCTCCACTGCATCGGATTTTTAGTTAAACTTATGCTTTTGCATCGAAGTAAAATAGGTGTTGTGCGTAAAAGACTTGTTTAAAATTCATCGAAATGTTCATTTATAGCATATACTAGGTCGTCTCATATTTTCATAACTAAATTTCCACCGCCATGATTCACTTCTCCTTGTATTTCTGATAGATTGCGAAGTAGCATCCTACAGATCAAAGCAAGCTCTAGAATGTGGTTGTTCAAGAATTCTTACCAAGCTTAATCCGCATCAAGTCTCAAGCCAACACAAAACTTCCGAATTCTAAGGACGAAAATATTCGTATCTCTGTTCAAAACAAATCTGCGAATTTCCCACTCGCTCACGCATATACTTTTCCCGTCAGACATCTACAAATGCACTTATTGCATTTTTTGATGGCTAAAAATTAAGAACAAAATAATGAGCTGAATTCTCAAACTTTGCCGTTCTATGTTTCTAGCATTTATGTGGTTATATAGCTTATTCACCATAAATACTGCCACAAATTTGCAGCCTTGTCAGTGCTCTGGTTTTTGAGAGATATCAAATTGAAGGTTCGAATATGAAAGACTTCTGGGACAACCTAATATGTTTTGATTTGTAGCAAATGTTCTAGTTCGCTTTGCTGTTAGTTTTTCTCGTACAAATCGATACAAAAACAGGCTTGATTAACCTATCGAGCAATAATAGACGTAGATTTCCTGGCTATAGGAGATGAGCAAATGAATAAAAAATGAAATTGTGAGCTTTTCTACGGCTTTATTGGCACAGCCAGATCTATAACTGACTTTTTCTCTTTCCTTTCTCCTCAGTTATTATAGATCTTGAGTTTTTGATCTATTATAAAAAAAAACGAAAGGACAAACTTTATCTTGCCGCAAATCTCCAAATTGGTATGAAATCGAGGTGGCAATCCATTCTTCTTTATTTCGTGAAACCAGCCAGCCAGTCTACATGCAATTTCTTTCTTGTCAATAAATGGTGAATCTCTTGCAGATTGTCTACCTACCATCATTACATTCACCAGACTGAAATGATTTAGCTTCTTGCAGAGGTAGGAGGAGCAGCATTCTCAGAGTTACATGACAATTTGTGCTTTAGGGAAATGAACTCGCTGTTGATGTCAGCTCCTCTTCAAATTTGCACTGCGTTCTTATGTTCCACATTATGTGAGTTGATGCTTTTGTCAAACCACTTTCAGAAACTTACGGTGGGCTTCAGCCACAGTTAAAATCGCCGTCACTATTTAATCCCCGCTCAAAGATTCCTTATGATTAGTGCTTCTAATTGTGTGAAATTGACTTGTCCGTTGGATCCGAGATGATTGCCATGTGCTTAATGCCTTTACTTGACGTTTTTTCGCACGCCCGTACGTTCTGCAAGACGCGACAAATTTATAGAAACATGGAATCCGTAACATTTATCAAGCAGTTAATATCTTCTCATCTGCTATGCTTGCCTGGTTGGTCTTATGTTTTTAATGTTGTAGAGTGAAAATCTTTATTGTGAGGATTGTAGCAATGTCCTTTCACTAGATATGGTCAGAAGCGAAGAGGCGATTTTCATGTTAGTCAACTGAAAAAAACTACCTAAACATATCTTTGTTATCAAACAATATCACTAATGAGAAGCAAAGACGATTGATGAGTCATCAAAGTCGGGCAGTTTCCAGATATACTACTCATACTTGAGTTGAACGTACGGAAGACTATCTTTGATAAAGATAAAGCTGTATCCTCAGAACGCTTGGCATTTTCTTCGGAAGCACTAAGTTTCAGATATGTGATCCTCCCCAACATCACCAAATGCAGAAGCTCGTAAGTACACTTCTTGCTTATTTAATCCATATCTCGAGTGAAACTTTGATTCAATCAGACAATCGTATAATCCAGGGTCGGTAGTAGTAAACCTATCGAAACTCAGAGTTAACTCTGAGTTATCTCTGAGCTAACGCGGGACTTTTTGGCGCCCTTAAGAGGTGCTTGAACAGACCAAATCCGGAAAGCGATGATATGGCACGATACTCCGTAAGCGGTAGTTTATTCCCAGTAGCGCAACATTGTCGAAATCGTCCTGCACAAGAAACAGCGCCACCAAACGCGCAACTAGTGTTTGCGATAACTCTGAGTTTTGTGCGCGTTCCAGTCTATCGTGGAACTCAGAGATAACTCCGAGTTTGGCCAGAGAAAGAGAAATAGTGTGCAAAAGAAGAGGGGCAGCTAAAAAGTCCTCCGGGGTACATTTTGCTCGTAGTTAAAGCAGGCATGATGGGAATATCGGGGTGCGCAGTAATTAACAAAATTTTGAAATTTTCTAAAAACTTCACCCAGGGGGTTATTCGGTGCGCTGATCAAGAATATGGTACTCATTTTACACCATGGAGTTATATAACCGGATTACGGTAGGTTTACAGTAGACAGGAGAGGATTACCAAGATCGTAAGGCCGGTGGGGTTATTCTGGGCGCTGATCACGAACCACAGTGACATCCGTCAGGGTTACGGTAGGTTTACGATAGATGGGAAAAAACTACGAATCTGATCGAAATTTGGTACACAGGGGTTATTCGGGGCGCTGATCACGAATATGGTTTGCATTTCTGGCTTCGCATCCGTATGGTGGAGTTACGGTAGCTATACGGTAGAATTGAGAAAACCACAAAACTGGTCGAAACTTCGACCGTCGGGGTTATTCGGGGCCTGATCACGGACAGTCCACATGCTCCGTGCACTGGTGTCATTTGAGCGGTTACGGTGGACATACTGTAAATCGGCCAAATTATGGAATAAGGGCAAGTTTTGCGCAGAGAGTTTAACTGTGCGGTCCATAATAGTCCATTATTACCATTGCGTATGCCATCCGCTCTCTCTAGTGTTTGAAGCTTTCAGCTGCGCCTAAGACCAAACCGTGCGATAAACCACTACTTCTCAACAGAGATGAAAATGAGTGAGGCTTTGATATGACTTGTTTTGGCATGTTTTGTGTTAATGCAATGACTACATAATGGCAAAGAAAGTTTAACCTTCAAGGGTGTGTCATGGCCTAGCGGTTTAGTGTTCGGATATTTGCGCTAAACCATACAGGTTCGAGTCTCAACTTCAACGTCGATTTTGCAGCAAAGCGCGTAACAGCTCCTCAAACTGCAAAACTCCGAGCTTGAGAGTTGGGACTCGGAAATGTGAAAGCGGAACTAAGAGTTTCATTAAGCATAACTCTGAGTTTAAAAAACGGAACTCAGAGTTATCTCTGAGTTAACGCTGAGCTTTAAACTCGGAGTTTCGACCAGATTACTACCGACCCAGAAAATTTGATTGTTTGTAGCAAAAATGATAAGATGATAATGATAAGTATCGGCTGGGGATGCATGAACTCTCATAATAGAGAGGGAACATAAATAAATGAAGCAATTCTAATTGTTGTCGAGAATGAAGATCATTGATTATAGGGCAGTCAAGGCCGTAGTGGTTGTATTATCTCGAGCAGGAAACGGCAAAATTAGGAGTGCCATAAGAGAGAGCTGGGCATCAGAAAGAAATTCTCAAGTTATACAGGGAAGGTTGTTTTTTTTTAATAGAATTTTTAGCAATGCTTTAGATTAAGCCGCTCATAGCTGCATTATCATTCATTAACTACATCGTTCTTGTTCATCTTTGCATCAAGGCCTGTTGACATTAGGGTAGACGTTAAGGGTATTTTTTCGTTAAAGGCACTTTTTTCGCGTCTCTAAAAGATTAAAGCCTCTGCACTTAAAATGTCGAACATCTAATTAACAGCAAGACACAACTCAACATGGGACAAAGCAGAGGGTGACGAAAAAATAGTGTTCCTCCGATTTGCTTTCAAAATGTTTTACGTGCAAAGCGAACCGATAGTTTTTTAAATTTCATTATGTGAACGAAATTTCAGAGACTAGAATAAAATAGGTTTCATTTAGAGCACAGTACTGAAAGGTTTTTGGTTTTGTGCGGCCTATCCATTGATTAAATTCCGCTTGAAATTTTTCAGTGAATAAGTATGTTTTATTATCCGGTACTACTATTTAATTTCAAATGAAATCTGGCTCAAAGGGGTAACAATTCTGTTTTGCCTCACAGCTGAATCAAAATTATACTAAACTCGAAATGGTGACGTTTTCGCATCTTTTAAATCTATTTATTTTTCAACTTCCTCCAAAGAAAAAAAATTGGCAAAACCTATGAATGTGGTGTGAACAGCATATGTGTAAGCAAGTTGGGCTTTGCAGGGCTTTTTTTGAAGAGATTTCCGGTCAATAAGTATTGAATTTGGAATTTTTTGAATTTCCCGTGCATCAATTTTTTTGCCATTGTTTCAAGCCATTGCTTGAACACCACTAAAAATAGCCTGAGAATATACAATAAAAACAGTGTCCGGACAAAAATTCGATTTCGACATTTTTTGTGCTTATCCGGACCTATTCGCTTTTCCGAACATCCACACTGGAGAACGCGAAATGGCCAAAAAGACTTTAACGCAGGAGGGACAGAGGTGAGGCTCCCGCCAGAGTGCCGAAGTTATGCCAGCGCTACGCCAGCATATCGATCGATACACGTGTGTTTCGTTGGGGCGGGGCTAGCTGACGTTCCCAAAGAAATACACGTGTATCGATCGAAATGCTGGCGTAGCGCTGGCATAACTTCGGCACTCTGGCGGGAGCCTGTGCGGGCTCTTTCTTACTGTAAATTCACGCTCAGCGAAATCGAGAAGATCGCTGAAGCCGGGAACTTGAATTCACAGTGGGGAAGGCCCCACCCACCTGCTAGTTCCTCTCCTGCCTTAGAGTTCTGTTTCGCCATTTTCGCGCTCTTCCGTCTGGATTTTCGGATTCAGCATGGCGATTAGTGGCAGGTAAGCACAAAATTTCAAAGTCGACTTTTTGCCCGGACACTACCTTTAATTTTGCATCAACCTAATAGTTTACATGAAAATCTCTGGTTTAAAAAATTAGCACTGTGTTTTTTTATTTTTCGTGGTATCCGCTGCGGTTTTTTCGTAAAAATATCTAAAACCTCTTTTCTGGTGAAACTGAAGGCTGATGACCTCTGAAACATTTCAGTCATACTATTAAGGTGAACGGTAAGAAATGGTACAATGGAGATTAATTGCAGGTTCTTAAAAGAGAAAAGTGATTTAACTTTCCAATATTGATGGAGGCTAGAACATATTATACTCCCTCTCAAACAACAGCTATAAAAGGTCATTTACGCACCATTTGATTTTTATGCTTGCTAGACTGCAAGTTAGTCTTCAACATTGGAGCAGTATCTGCACAGTGAAACATGTGAGACCATCCAAAGTTCCACTGCTGCAATGGGTGATGGGACAGTTACCAAACTCACGATGGCTGGCTCGGCTCAGCGCTCAAAGTCAGGAGATATGGTCGTTAGCAGTTTCGAGAACGAAAATGGGTGTTATTTACTGCTTTGCAAGCGAGTAAGGGGTACTCTTCCGTTATCCGGACCCATTTTCAAGAGGTAACAAATTATGATCTCTTGTCTGAGAACAATTTTTCGTAGATTCCAGGAGGATTGCCTCCCTGCCACGTGTCAGGAAAATATTGACACGTTTTGGTCCATTTTGACATGTTTTTTCGAAATCATTTCCGGTGAGTAAAAGACGATTTGCGATCACCTAAAAGCTGTTTAATCTTTTTCTATAAGAGCAAAACAATCTGTAACTTATATTAAAGCATCTGAATTGTTTCCAGCACGATTCAGCTTTGTCGTTCTCTACAAACTTTTCGCCATGCAAATTTAGCCACACAAGACTATAAATGTTGACTCGAAGTTCCTTGCTGCTGCTTGTTTCGTCACTTAGACAATGGGACTTAGACAAAATTTGACATGTCGTTTACATGTTAATAGGTAGAATTTGAGTTGCCCTACCTAGCTCACTTCTCTGTCTAATCCGTTAGTTAATAAAATAGCGATATTATGATAACAATTTTCATTCTTGATACTGTTCAATCGAAAAGGGGCCGCTATTGATAAAAAAACTGAATGAACTTACATCGATAGGTAGGGCAACTCAAATTCTTGGCTCAACCTGTTAGTCATGTAAACGACATGTCAAATTTTTTTGACATGTGGCAGGAACGTTGACAATTCCTTCTGTGAAGTTAGTATTAGATATGGTACAAGGAAAGAAGCAATATCCTTCTTTGAAAAAATGGGTCCGGATAACGGAAAAGTATCGAATACGGTTCTCTGACTACCATGCGGTAGAGCTCTTTACGCTCTATTTATCCATGGGCACTCTCCCTCCACTTTTTTTAATCTTCGGAGGTTGTAGATTGAAACATAATTTGTTGGTTTTTATGGCGCCAAAAAATCGCAATTATGAATTTTTTTGCTTTTGAATCTGGAAATCAAATCAAATCCTATATATTCATTAGAACAATAGAAAGAGCTTGAAGAGCTCTTCGGAATGGTATGTCAATTGCTTTATGACTTTACGGTATAGCAGTGCAAGATTGAGAGATATTCAAAAAACCTTGTTCGAGTTCTTTACGGGCCAGGCGTAGGGTTGGGGGGAAAGGAGCATTAAGGCGTTACCAGAATAATAGGCGATGGTCGCTCATATAAGCAATTTTAAGTTGCAGCGTGCTTGCTGTTGATCGAATCAAGAATCTCAAAATGTAATAAAAACCAAGCTCTTCCATTTTCCTATTTTTAGCTTTCCCACTCTAACATTTCTTTGATCACTAAAGAATAATCTAATGCTCACTATTTTGGGAATAAAATTTTTTGCTGTTTATGATAGTAGAAGAGAGTAGTTCGAGTGATAATGTTATAAGCTAAATGCACGACAAAAGTTTGGGCGCCGCTGCTAACATCGCAGATTGCTGCAAAAGGCCCAATTCTAATTCAGCGTTTACCGTAAAAGCCGTGAAGTGAGCGCCTAAGAACTTGTATTAGGTGTGAGCTATGCTACTACTCTACAGCTCATCCTTTCTTCGCTGTTGTTCCATCAGATTTTATCGATGTAGAGTTGCTTCTTGCTATAGGACAGGTGTATAAAAAAATAAGTACAAATGTTTGCGACCTTTTCTGAACAATAGATGTTCCCGAAGACGAAGAGCGTAAAGATTAAACTTTTAATTGACGACAATGCAGAGCGGCCCCTTCCTTAGAAAGGTCTAAATTTAATCGGAAAATGTCGGAGTACCAAAAAACGACTACAGCTTTTAAACGAAGCATTTCATTGCTTGCAATTCATGCTAGAAAAAAATTTTTTTACCCCAACCGAAACCTTATAAAGCCCTATACATTTGTAAGTTTATGACTGCTAAAATGCAATCGTTCTCACTCGAGAACTCGTAGTTTTGATCAGGATTTTCTGAGTTGTAAAGCCGATACTTTGTTCATATTTTCAAGCTCATACACCTTTATTGGCATCCGATAGTTTTGACGTTTTACCTACCAGCGTGAGCCTTGTGCGTATGAAAATTATTTTACAAGTTCACTAAAGTTCCGTATTCTTTTGGAGAATATGTCTCGTAGTGCACTTAAAGATTGTGAAGGAACAGTAGCATAGATTTCAAAATAAAAAGTGAAGCTCGCTCTCAAGAATGACATCTTGGTTGCTGCCTGCTTATCGGGAATAGGAAGCAGAAATTTGAAAATGTGAAGCAATTCTGAGCCGCCTCATTAGTTTTTGGCCCTCAGCAAGCAAAAAGGGTTGAATCCTTTTTTTTTCCTTTTTTGGTATATTGCCTCTGCACTGTTCAAATACTGAGCCTTGAAAGAACAATCTTCAAGATATTCTACGCTTTCGTTCACACATGCACGTGATTGAATCACAGCCTATTTCAGAACGGTACAACCATCGTATATTTCATAGTTTCCTCTCCAAAATATAATTTTGAGCTGGATAGCCTGGCTGCAGAGAAGAGATTATACAACGATATCATTGCACTAGATATTACTGAATCCTATGGAAATTTGATACTCAAGGTATGCTTGAGGAGATAAAAGATTGAGAAGATAATAATTTACTGAACCAACATCCTACTATAACAACGCGCTAAGAGTGTTTACGTTTTTTTGTGTGTCTGTCTGTGTGAATGTCTGTCTGTCACGAAATTCATAGCGCGAGTTCCAGCCAACCTCCTGCGCTCAAATTTTGCACAGCGCATGCTACCCGCATGAAAGTGCAATACGTAAAAGCACGAGCAGATTCGTTGAGTGGATCCCTCAGAAACTGCGCGTCATACGGATTCACTTTGCATTTGGGCCGCAAGATTGGGTCCGTAATTCCACTTTTTGGAGAGTCGTGGATGTTTATGCCAAGTAAATATGCAACATGAACTTAGGCCCAAAAAAGTGATCAAAAGTCCATTACTTTACAAAAACGGCGCCAAAAAGTATTGGTTGCGTAAATGGTTAATTTGCCAAGGTTTTACCAGAGCATTTGACGAGATCTTTGCACAAAGCTGTAGCTCACAGTGACTGCTGTTCTTATTGCAAGTGTCGAGACCATGGGAAAATCAAAACACTATAAAAATTTGCGTTTTTCCCTGCAAAAAGTCTCATCTACACGAAATTACCGATTTCGCATAAAAAAGCTTTCGGAATGAGTAGTTGTTTACATTTTGTTCGTGATAGTCGGCATCGCTCGGTGAATACCAATGCCAACATTATGCGAGAATGAGTAGCGCCTAGATAGTAGAGCCAGTGCGAGCCTCTGCGAAGCAGAGGTGAAGCACTGGTAGGAAAATAACGCAAACATGCAAATATGTTGTATGCCGTCGATTCGCGCATATAATAGTTGTTCTGATGCAGATATAGTTGTGATTAATCGCGTGTTAATTAATAGATATGATCGGTTTCCAGATTCGTGTAGAGGTGTATTGCAGACTTTGCCTGATAACACAGGTAAACTTGTTAAACCTCCACGTCATAGCATTGCTTTTTCATACTCTCTCGCCAGCAAAATCCGCCACGCGGTGAGTTGGCAAGGCTCCACCTCCACACGAACTGGAAGCCGATGATATTACATGTTTAGTTCATCCGCTTGAAAACGAAACGCGGCATCACTGATCTGTCTGTGGTTCTGAGGCGGATGAAGTAGAAGAAGTGAATGAGCAAGGCACGTGTCGCAGTGTCAACAAGTGCCAAATCCCCAAGTAATTACGAATGTCAGGTCACAGTTTCTAAAGTGTTTCAGTCAAAGAAGCTCTTTAAAATGCATTCTATACCATTACGAAAAGCTTTGAACGCTGATTCCAAATCTGCTTTTATTATTTGTCGAATGCCTCTGTATGCTAAGTTATGAGTGCTGTTTAGAGCGAAAAACTCACGCATACACAAGAGCAGCGTCTGATATGAGTATATTACACAAATGTGTAATATACTCATATCAGATTTATTGCCTAAAGCCTTTACATTAAACACTGGACCATTTTGTCTCAGTTGGGCGCATTTTCAACCCGAAAACGCTCATAGCTCGGTGGCAAGGATGTTCGGCAGATATTAAAAGAGGTTTTGCAATCAGCGTTTAATGCTCTACACAATGGTGTGGTTGCACAGAATGCTATAAAATGGTATCTGGGAAGGTCCTTTCGACTAAAAACAATTTTTATAAGTCCTGCGGCACACATTGCTAACATTCTGGCAACATGCAGCACTTGTTGACATCAAGGCTAAAAGGAGTTACCCTCTAATTCAACACTAGCTGCTGTAAGGCAGGGCTTCGAGGAATTAATGCTAAGGAATGATCAAAGCGCACGCTTGCGAGAGACGCAGACTGCGCCGTGGGCGCGAGCGGTTGCCTTTCAGCCGCTGATCCCGTTGAATCAAAGGTACGCACATGTTAGACATGCGTGCTTTTGTCAGAGGTGCAGAGCAGGGATATCAGGAATTGTGCAGGATACGATGTTTGGTTACGCACAGGGACATCAACTTACATGCAATTATGTATTTTTTTTTTCAGGTCTACGCGACGCTCATGTTCTACAGGCAACATTGCGAGCAAGTCGCGCATCTGATAAAAGTGGACGATGACGTTGTTCTTCTTCTGGACAAAATACTCAGCATAAGAAAGAATGTAGACGAAAACGTTATTTACTGCCAACTATGGAATAACCACGCACCAAGCCGTAATCCTATAAGCAAATGGTATTTTTTATGTGTAGTATTAGGCTGGTGCAGAAATGATGTCAGTTTTGCAAAGATTAACTTTGAAAAGCTATAACTTTGTCAATCTGCATATTTTTGAATGTGGCTTAGACCAGAGGCAGTGAACTTTTGTAACCTTGACGCGCACCTGCTCATACGGATAGCAAATGGCAAGAAAACCAGGCGTCGTAAAATCAAAGTTTTCTTGTGTCCCCATCTTCGAGAGACTACAATTCCTTTCAAGTTTTGCTCCTATAGCTGTTAATCAGCTATTTTGTAGCGGCAAGTCAGTAGTATTAGATTGTTGCATAAGTTCTGTCCGATTTTTTGCCTCATGTTTGAAGCAACTGTTGTAAGAGATTTCATATCTAATGCGGTATTGTTAGTATCATTAGAAAGTGCTTTTCTTGCGCTTTCCAAAGCATATCAAATTTCAATAAATTTCCTAGTGTAAGGAGATTTTAGGCCTAAAATCTCCAAGTGGCCGAGGTATGTTCTCACCCTAAAAATATGTTCTTGCGAGAAAATCTCCACAATGCGCCCTTCAGGTCAAGTTTTTTAACTGGTTGCGGAATAAGGATGTAATAGGCTAGCATACGCATAAGTTCGGTTTCATGAAGAAAACGTCTTGCTAGTAAAATTTATTGTCAAACATTAATTTTCTGTATAGATGTTTTACATGTGCTATAACTTTCTGCGAATAGAAGTAATCGATGACTTCAAAATTGGAGGTGCTAGGGTAAAGAAAGAGCTAGCAGGGCAATCCACCAATTCCTTTTCGGCTCTCACGTCAACTGTAAAATTTTCGCAACTCGTAAATAGGCATGCTCACATGTGCTGAAGCGAGGTCAAAAAGTGGCTAATTTTTTGTTAGGTCAAAAAAATCTTTCGGCAGCGCAGACCCTATGGGCTCTTTCATGTTGCAAAATAATCTACGAAAAGTTCTCTATCTGTCCATTGTTAAACAAGATGCCTACCAATTGTAATTGTAGAGTTCCCATCTAATTATGATGCTTCATTGAAGAGTTGCGCCGGGTAAGAGGTAGCGGCCATTTTTTCAGTGTTCCTAAAAAGTGCGGACCGTTTAGAAAGCTTCGCAATCTTGTGAAAAGTTGAGTATTGAACTCAGCGTCCATAAAAACTCTATTACACAAGTTTTCACCTTTTTTGAAAAATTTTGAGACGGCAGTTTTTTCCACATTGAGACCGTATGTTTTAAGTTTTTACCGTAATCTTACAGCAACGAAGAGCGATCGATGATTTGCTCCATACTGTAAATCTAAGTTGAAGCCAGCTCTACAAAACGGTAATTGAAGCAAGGCAAAAGATTGTTGGGAAGAAAGATATTAACGATCAAACAGTGTATACATACTTTACGGACACCCTGTATAATTTATTTTTTACAAATTTTCACGATAATAACCGTTGACAAATCAGCAGCGAAAGCAATGCTATTCACTAAGTTTAAGATTTCAAAAAGAATGTTCAAGGTATGTCCCAAGAAGCTCGTGGCCGCAGGATGTGTATCCTGACTACTGCGATGGTCCGGCGTACATAATAGGAAGAAAAGCAGCAAAAAAGCTTCTTGATGCAACTCCTAAACTTCGCCGATTTTACTTCGAGGTAACTCCTTTCCAGCTAGATCACGACCATCTTTCACAGAATGTTAAACTAGTTACGCCTATGAAGTCTTCAGCATGAGATATTTTACTGTTAGAATCAAGGCTGGTTACTTGAGTGCTAGTGAAACTCCAAATGCTTTGGTGTTCGATTTTTTGGAGTTAGAGCCAGTTAAAATTATCATCGCTGCAGTGCAGCGATGATAATTCCAACTGGCCCGTGGTGGGGAGAGACAATGCTGCGAAAGTTAACGGAATCGTAACCACCTTACAATCGTTTGTACTGTTCCTTCTAGTGACATTTGCTAACATAGCCAACGAGTACTGAGATAGCACGACATGCAGACATTTTTCAATCTGTTCCGTATACGGAGAACGCTGTAGACAAAGTTATGAGGTTATATTGAAGAAATCGTGTACGCACAATGCAAATTTTTTTTGCATTTCAACCTATGAGCCATGTTTGGCTTGATGACGTCAAACATTGCAGCTAACTTGCTTCATACATCCCATCCAAAGGTGAGCTGAAAAGACAATAATACGCTTCGCAAATTTTTTGTGTGATTTACCTGCAATAAAAATATTCATAACTTCGTTTACAACGGCGTTCAGATGCTAAAGGTAGATTTGGAGTTGGCGTCTTAAGCTGTATCCAATGGTATGCAACTTGTTTGGTTGGCTAAATGGACTTCTGAACTTTGCCTGTAAGCATTCACTGAGACGTATGAGCAGAGCCCATGACTGCATCCACTTCGCTCTGAGACTGTAATTGTATCACTCGCATTGTCACCAGCTTCTTTCGAAAGTTCTATTAGGCTGCCTCATAATTTTTTACCTTTTTACCCTAAACATCAGCATTTCTCGAGAACTGGGGAACCTACAAAAAATCCAAACGCATGGTCGTACTTCTATATGTACGAGCTCTATATGATCACATGGAGTTTGCCGTTTTGCCTCATTCATTTTTTTTCTTTATTCCTAGCCATGGAAAAAAATTCGGAAAGCGTGCAGTCGAATGTGTGATGTGTCAAGCATATGCCAGAATAAATGGGGAATTTTTTAGATACTTTGGAAAGGAGATACGATTTTTTTCCAAAAAATTCGTTTTGACTGCTATCGGATTTGAGCTCAGAACTTCACGTGGAACACGATTTGCGCAGACTCTTGATAGCCATCTTGTAGAGCTTGCTTTGCTCTGTCGAATGATTATTCAGGCCACACCAGATGAAGAAAAGGTACATACGAAAAGACGGGGTTGCAGTGAAAACGGTAAAAAATTATGAGACAACCTAATATTTATACTATACGATGTGAAACGCGCATGTAATTCCTTCTCTGCTTGACTTCCTTGATGGAGCGCAAGTGCACATAATTTCTGATGATGTGATTGCTTTTGTGCGTGAAGGCATCGTACACCTAAATTCTCGACTTTCATTCAATCGTTACAAATTCCTCTCATGTTCCTAATTTTGAATATGAAATCGAAAATCCGCGAAAATTTCGGCAATCCCAATTCCGAAGAATCGCCACGGGCAAGTACGGGTAGGCGGGATCAAAGGAACGTCTACCGCTTGGACAAGTACTGCCCCCCCCCCACCCCCGTTTCTGCTCGTCCGAAGCGATTCTCCCACTTTAGAGTGCACCTTTTTCGAGATCTGAACTATTGCTTCAGTCAGAGGCCGTGCTCACTTACATCAACATTACAACAATTTTATTCTGGTTAGATGGCGCCTTAAAAAGGCAGACTGATACCTTCGAAAGTTTTCACGGGTTCAAAACTATTGGAAAATTTGCTGCAGCGAAGCTTTGCTGCATTTTACATGTTTACTATTTCTATTCTTACATTACCGTTAAGGATGTGTTCTTTACTGGTATTGCTGCTGACTTTGCCGGAGTAGCGAGACGAAATTGGTCCGACGTGATGATATTCACTGATCGGGTAAGTGCTCCAGTTTTAATCGAATGCAGTACAAATCTCCTTCAAGAACCGTTTGGTATATAAAATTTTAGTCTTTCATCTGATGTAGAAAATAGTGACTCTCTGAAGATGTCCCATCAATACAGCCGAATGTCGCTTTCAAAACAGAGCTCAAGTTCTGGACTCAATGACAAGTTTGGATGGGAAATGAACAGTACAAGTCCTGGTGTGCAGCAGAAATAGGTGTAGCCTCAAAAACATGAGAACACAACGTCAGCATTGTATGGCCTGTCTGTAGCAGTGATAGATGATAATGAGGTGGAAAAAGAAAGAGAAACAAGGAGCAAGTTTTTAAATGGTGCGCAAAATTTGGCGTTGTTTGTTGCCGTTTTTCAAATGAGGTGTTACAGATTTTGTCAGATAACTCCACTGAAAGAGTTCACTATACTCAACACACTCACGACCAAGCTATTTTTTCCGATAACTGCCCTTTTGAACTAGAGTATATTTTACAACGCCAGTTACGATCCATGATGGCCTCTTTGGTCTGAAATGGTAATGTTAATCTGAGAAGTGTAATATTATAATAGATATAAACCGACGTCTGCCAAAGGTTTAATTCTCATAAACTAGCAAAAGAGAGCTTTGAATAACCATGCGAGCCACGGTTGGTCGTATGATTCGAAATGGCAGGGCATGTACACGGACGAGTGGGTGGTGTGAATGTGTTAAGCAAACTTCTGAAAACTATCTTCTCACTCTACTTGCCTATCTCAAAAAAGGCTTTGGATACATATGTTTTGACTAGCCACCCTTAGACTTAGAGTGGGGTTTTTTTGAAAGCCTTTTATGAGGCATACAATTTATAAATGGTAATTTTAAGCTTCTCCGAGTATTTTTGAGTATTCGATTGAAAATGAGCCTTGAAAAACCTTCTCAAGAGCCCCAAAATTTTTAGAAAACAGCCCAAAAATTTTTTTCAAGGGAAAGGCGTGACTGACGGGATGGTCTTCATTCAAAGAAAAATTTAACCCTTTTCTACTTTCCGAAAAAGATCTGATTGCCAGTGTTGTGTCACACACACACACACACACACACACACACACACACACACACACACACACACACACACACACACACACACACACACACACACACACACACACACACACACACACACACACACACACACACACACACACACACACACACACACACACACACACACACACACACACACACACACACACACACACACACACACACACACACACACACACACACACACACACACACACACACACACACACACACACACACACACACACACACACACACACACACACACACCAAACACGCACACACACACACACCAAACACACACACACACACACCAAACACACACACACACACACCAAACACACACACACACCAAACACACACACACACACCAAACACACACACACACACACACACACACCAAACACACACACACACCAAACACACACACACACACACACCAAACACACACACACACACACCAAACACATACACACACCAAACACACACACACCAAACACACCAAACACACACACACACACACACCAAACACACACACACACCAAACACACACACACCAAACACACACACACCAGAGCAAAGCAAATGTCATAGCCTACTCTTATTAGTATATCAATTGATATCGGCTTACTTTTTTCAGCAACCTTTTATCGATTCAGTTTTTGAAAAATTCTCAAGTGAGACGCTATGGATTGATACAGGGTAACATACCAATTATGAATGCAGTATGCATGTCCATGACAACCTCTGTCGATTTAATCAACATTTTTTGCAAGCTTTACTAGGGAGACTTTGGGGAAGGAATAAGTGCGTGTTTAGGAAAACACAATGGGGCAGGAAACTGCCGTATAGAATTGAGAAGGAAAAGAATTAGAAGTGAGACGCGATAATGAGCAAGTACACAGGAAGCGAGCGGTGTCTGGTATGCCAGCTAGCTCACTATATTGGGTACGGAAACGAAAAGACAGTGCAGTACTTGCAAGTTTGCAGACACAACTTGTACCTTACATCACTAACTTATTTCTAATATCACAATCGAAGCAGTTATACAGCACTTTAAAAACCGCCAATGGACCCATCGCTTTTAAACACATACTTTACTTACTGCCATTTATTGGTATAGTTGGGCTAAAGCAAGATTGTTTTGAAGCGGTATTGTTGCAAAAAGTGTAAAACAAGCTTTTACGAGTTGAACATACAAGTTTATTAGTCTGCAACTGCGACAGTCCTGTCTGCTCGATTATTTCTGCAGTCTTTAGAGGCATGTTAGTAAGAGGAGTGGACTGTAATGTTCCGATCAAGAAACTGAAGCGCAAGCAGTAATTTTTGCTTTACGCTGTACATTATCGAAGCATTGAAAGGATAATTATGGTTCAAAGGTTGATGGAGGATAATTATGGAAAAATCTTATTGACTCTCGAGCTTTATGCACGGCGTAGCAAGATTTCATCAGTTACGGGATTGCCGCTGTTACAAATGTTGTAATGAGCTTTGTAAGAAATGAGTAGGACTAGATTGCACACTACAAGTTTAGCAGGTATAACAATTCATTCCTGAAAACATTATTATAACTCTATTATAACTCCATCTAGGTTCTCGTTTCGCAGGTGTAGAAAACAATATTCGAAGCAGTATTAAAAGGCGCATTTTTTGATTTACGAACCGTTATGAATGGCCGGGGTCACCAAGTATCCTTCCCTGCTAAGTCAGATGATAATCAGTAAATCACGTCAAGCACGTTCGACTCTCTTTCCGCAGATGAATGCAATTGTACAGCATCACGAATCTAAGTTCTCTACCTCAGTTGCTTATAAAAAAACTACAATGAGGACATCTTACACATAACTACTAAATGCATGCTGAAAGTAAAACACATACAATAGTTTTTAATTGAAGTCACAAAGTAGGGGTGACTGTTCTAAACTGACAAAATGTAACCATGCCAACAGACATTATATAAAATAGACGAAACATTTACTTAGCAAATGCTGTATCTGAAGGCGATCTCTTCTTTTTTCATACATCATGCAACTTTTGTCGCTACTAGTAGTAACAGTGAAGTAGTTATCTGAGTATATTTGCAGTATTACTGGCGGGCTCGTGATGAATGCAGCATTGCAAATACATCTGAAGTCGTTGCCGTGCATTCGCTACCTTCTCCGGAGTCACTGAAGTCAGGGTTCAAGAAAGCTCTCAGGTTCAAATGTGAAAACATAAAGCGATACGTTATGCATTACTGGAATTGATCTGTTCGAATGTGTCGAATATTACTTCTCTATTTTTTTGTACAAACTACTCGCTACACTTGTAATACATTTGGATAAACAGTTATGCTTCGAGTTCTACAAGAATTTCTCTGTTATCTTATATACAAGACTGAATATCTGTTTGTAGTCAAGTATGTGTGGAATAAAAAAATCCATTTTTACCAATCCGAATCAAACTTCATAAAAACAAATCGAGGTGGACGGGTGTCATAGCTTTTCGTTATCAGTCTGAATCGATTTTGTCGATTTTTAAGAACTTCTAGCTGCGGTGGTGGAAGGTTGTACATGTGGAAGGTGGGCATGCTGATTCAAAATACTCATTGTTCACAAATATCAAGTACCGTCTTGCAAACAGCTAAGTTGAAAAGGGAGGAATGAGAACGCTGAAACGAGTGTGAGATATACAGGGAAGTGGTAAGTGAAAACTTACTACTTCCCTGTACTTACCAAAACATAGTGGAGACAAGGAACTGGAATGTAATAATGGTACGGGGACAAGGCGATGTTCTGCAGAATTAGGTAATGTTGATATTCAACATATTGTATCAACAGAGCAGGGCGAAACTTAGCATAAAAGCTAGCACTTACTCAAACCACTAAGAAACCACTAAGACACCACTTAGAAAATTTTTTGCAAAAGATTTACGCAAAAAGATTCAAAAACTTATGTGAAGTATCACCTTTTCCAAAATTAGTCCGTCTCCAGACGGCCACCAGACGATCTGAGATCGTCTGGAGCATATATTTTCGTCACTTCACATTTTCGGATCTTTTTAGCATGTACGGATTCCCTGGTCAAAAATCTATCCCAAAGCATGGACATTTTCATATCAGTCATTGCCTTTGCCTTGTTTTTTGCCTTAATTTCCTCATAACCTTTTTTAATTACCAAGCTCCAAAGCCAAACTCTTGTGCATGCGTTGTATTCAGCTCCAATTTGTATTTTCACTCCTATCTCACATTTTTTCTCTCAGACAAAGGGAACTTCGTAAAACTTCCGAAAGTCATGGGAGACTTCGTTTTCAGAAACCCTAGAGAACGACTCGTGCCGGACCATGGGCTCAAACAAGTACAAAATTGGAGTGGATGAAAGATAAGGCTTAGGGGATTACAGGGATATTCGCCATTTCTGTGAAGTAAGTGAATTCAAACGACGATGGTGCGGTGTCCGAAAATTGAGTCTCGAAATATTGCACTGCGAGGCTTTCTGACATACATTCCGGGTCTGATCCTCGGAAAAACTTGATAGTTGAATTAGAAAACAAATCTGGGCTCTTTCCTATAGATTGGGATTTCGAACGCGTCAAATCGCGCCGTCGCTGATTGCACAAGAGCTCGCTCGATCGGTTCAAACTGGACATCATACATGACTACTTCTCAATGTACGCGTAACGATATGGCACCACATTGCGTAATGAACGAACATAGGCTATGGAGCTTAGGCATGAAAAATTATGAGAAACTTATGTGATTGGATGGTGTATCAAACTTTTGTTCCCAATTTCCTCATAGCGAGTGGAGATGTGAATTACAATTACAGTGGCTCGTTTTCAAAGCACAACGATAAGCTATAAAAAATTCGGTACTACCTACAGGGACAGACCCTATAAAGTTAATTGAGAAGTTTCTCAGAAAAATTATGTGACTGAAAATAGCGGCAAGTTTTTTCTGAGAATTTGCCGCTCCAAAAAGATGGGGAAATGGCTCGTTTGCAACACACAGATGGGGATATGGCATAAAATTTGACCGGTATACGCGCAGTGAGACTATCTTACTTGTGAGTATGAAAAATTACGACTTATGTGCACCTTCATACTACGCCGCAGGACGCGGCGTGCTGCGGCGTGTTGGCGGCGTGGCTTTTTACTGCGACTGCAGCGGCGCACGCTGCAGTCGCAGTAAAAACATACGCTCACGGCAGCACAGCTTCGCCGGTTATGGATGTATCTGTGAATTTGCTGCACGTTCGTGTTCTTCGAGAGTCTTTGACAGCGAGCGAGCTTATGAGGTAGGCGAAACTTCCATTTCACATAAGTTCTTCAAAACTTCACATAAATCTGTTCTACACAAGTAGTATATGTTAGGTCGATGCAAAAGTTTTGTCACTTTCTTAAAATGACCCCCGCAAATCCCGTACAGTAAAGGTAAACCAACACCTCAAGCTGTCTCCGACGCAAATTTCTTCCTTTATGGGGTTTTAAAACACGATTATGATTACTGACCTTACAGAGTAGATGAGCGATTCTCATTTCAATATAAGAAGTTTTTGAAACTTGTGGTTTGTCAGTGCGCACTCGTTTAATAGAGAAATACTGCGATGTTCCGCGCAAATACGCATCTCTGCAAATACGCATCTCTCGCCAAGAAAGAAGAGACAACTGTTAAAAAGAAGACAAAAAGGTGCATTGAACGGAACTTAATCTGTTTTCCATTTCATGTTCTATGAGGTGAGGACAGGCAAAAAACAAATGGTCACGTCAAAAAAATATATCTCAAAGATTCTGAAATACGAGCCACAGAGCTAAAGAAAACTGCTTCAGTTGGCAAAAGGTTTGCTTTACCTGCTAGTTACTTAAGCTTCAAAATTCTTATCCGGAAATTTGATAAATTAGGGAAAATTGGACATGGAGAAAACGAAGGGTTGTAATATTCAGTTATTATTTCAACACTCTTTCATCGCATTACATTGTGTATATAGCAGCTGGAAAGGGGAAGAGATTTCGCATCGGATACAGCTTGAAATGTTTATCCTTATTGCACGGAATTTGAGGATTATCTCAAAAAACTGACAAAACTTTTGCACCGACCTAATATAACGTTTTGGTTTCAAAACTCTTCCTCTCTCCTCGTTAGGATCCGGAATAACAACAACACCTTTTCTTTTGAGGAAGAGCGCGCTCCAATCGAACAACCTACGCAGCTGTCTCGATCAAGTCGGAGATCGTACAAATTGATAGTGGCAAAGGCGAAGCCGTTTCACAGGTCGGTAGTAACCTCGCTGAAACTTCGAGTTTAAAGCTCCGCGTTGATTCAGAAATAACTCGGAGTTCCGTTATTGAAACTCAGAGTTATGCTTTTCGAAACTTTGAGTTCCGCTTATAAAGTTCCAACTTACCAGCTCGGAGTTGTGTTGTTTGAGGAGCTGTTACGTTGTTCAATCTCAAAGTTGTTTTCTTATAATGCAACTCATTGCGTTAACACAAAGCTAGTCCAAACATGTTACATCAAAGCCCCACTCATTTTCAGTCCTGTCGAGAAGTGTTGGTTTACCGCAGGGAATGATCTTTTGCGCAGCTGAGACAAACAATAAGGAGAGCGGATGGCATACGCAATGGTAGCATGGACTGTTAGGGTCTGCACACAGATTATACCCTCCGCGCACAACTTACCCTTATTCTACGATTTGACCCACTTACAGTATAGTATGCGTACCGCAATCGCTCAAAATGACACCATTGTACGGAGCATATAGACTGTCCTTGTTCAGCGCCCCGAATGACCCAACGCTCATGTTTCGATTTGCTCTGTATTTTCTCAATTTGCCGCAAAGCTACCGTAACTCCGCTATATGGATCCGCAGCCAGAAATGCATACCATATTCGTGACCAGCGCTACGAGCAACCCCAGTGTTTCAAGTTTCAATCAGTTTCGTGATTTTATCCTATCTACCGTGAACCTACCGTAACCTTGCCAGATGTCATCCCAGTATTGCATGCCAAATTCGTGAGTAGCGTCCAGAATAACCCCACCGGCAATAGTTTTGGCCAATTTTGTGATTTTCTCTTGTCTACCGTTTAAAACCTACCGTAAGCCGTTTTTATGACCCCATGGTGGATAATGCGTACCGTATTCGTAATCAGCTCGCCGAATAACCTCCTGGCCCAAGACTTTACAAAATTTCAAAATTTTGTAACTATTGCGCACCATAATACCCCCATCATACCTGCTGAATCTACGAGCAAAATGTACTCGAAGGACTTTTTAGCTGCCACTCTTCTTTTGTGCACTATTTCCCTTCTCTGAACAAACTCAGGTTATCTCTGAGTGCCACGATAGACTCGAACGCACCAAACTCAGAGTTATTGCAGAGCTCAGCTGCAAGTTTTGTGGCGCTGTTTCATGTGCAGAACGATTTGGACATGTTGCGCTACTAGGAATATACTACCGGTCACGGAGTATCCCGCCATATTATCGTTTTACAGAACTGCTCTATTCAAGCGCATGTTAAGGAGGTCAAAAAAGTGCGCGTTTTCATAGAGATAGTTCAGAGTTAACTCTGAGTTATAACTGTGAGTTTCGACAGATTTACTACCGCATTGATGCCCTATTGCCATTCTCGTGCTAGGCTCTGGCTGCATTTTTCCCACAATAAAAATTCACATGATGCTAAAATTCAAATAAATATTGAAATAACATCAGAAAAGGAAACTTGTGGGAGCTCAAAAGTCAGTTGTTACCAGGGTCAAGCGTGGGGTGTGGCATGCCACACCTGGGAGGTCGTATTGAGGAATCAGGGGGGGGTCGTTATCAAGGCGTCCGCTGTTCGCATAACATAACAATGTCAAATAGGCTCGTCATGCAAAATTGCCTGGCAACTAACACAATATTTGACCCATTAACGTACACGTAGAGTAAGCATAATGAAGATCTATAAAGCATAAGAGCATCGTTTCGTAATTAGCAAGTAATATAACCCCTGTGGTCCAAGTCTCAGCGAAATCTGAATTTTCCAAATACAGGACCACCTACGTGAGATGGTCGTTTTCGAACACGTTGCTTTGTTTTGAAGGTAAGTTAACTACTTCTCTTTGCGCTCAATACAAAAGACTATCATTTCTTTGCTCACATTAGAAATCCTAGTCCAAATGACCTCCAAATCAAGTAACTAACAATAAGAGCAAGCCAAAATCTTGTTTGTTCCATTTTTCGTTTTCAATATCTCAGGAGAAGACCAACTGGGCTCAAATCACTTTGATGTAGGTTACGAGGCTTAGGCTAACAAATATATACATTCTTGTTGCCTCCCTTTGCGATTCACGTAGTAGCGCAGAATTAGCATGTTACAGTATCCCAATATTTTCGCAGTATCTACCAGTATTTTACATTTAGGTAAGGAAAAACGATTACATCTTGCTCTTGAAGAAACGTTTTCATATGAAATTTCTGCTATGTAAAGAAGAAGGTTAAGCAGTAACAACGATATAAAAACGCAGTTATTTGATCTGTATGAAGATATGTTAAGGGATTGCGGCACCACCCCTAAAAAGCTGTGGCTGCCAGCTTTTTAGGGGTGGTGCCACACCCCATTAACTATATCAAAAAGACATTTTTAGCGAACGATATTTATATGAATCGATAGCTTACGCCTTGTGGATCTTATAGGAGTGATTTGAACCTGATTCGTCTTCTTAGCTCCGAGTGATATTTGGTGAAAGCACAGCCATTGAAAGCGAAAAATAGGAAAAACAAGATTCTAGTTGGCTTCTAATTCCAAAGTTAGGAGGTCTTTTGAAGCGAGATTTCTGAGTTGGCCAAAGAAGGAGTAGTGCGTCTTGATTGCAAAAACAGCTAGCTATTTCACCTTTGAAACAAAGTTAATTGTGCTGGAAAATGGCGATTTCACTTAGGGTTCCTTCATACTACGCCGCGCACGCAGCGTACGCGGCCTAGTATGAAGAAACCCTTAGGTGACCCAGTATCTTGAAACTTCAGAATTCGCTCAAACATTGTCTACAGCAATTAATTGACATACTAATCATGGATATGTTGCCCGTTATGCTTGACAGGGCCTTCAAATAATGCTGTCTTAGGTATATATTAGGTTGTTACAAAAATTATGTCGTTTTTGCAAAATTTTATTTTGAAAGGATATAACTTTGTCCAGTCTTCATGTTTTTCAATGCAATCAAAACCATATGAAGCAGTAAATCTTTGTTAACTTGATGCGCATTTGCATTTACTGATATCACAGACGCGAAGAAAACCATGCGTCAAAAAACGAAAGTTTTTCTTCTAGAAACCTCGCCCTTGAGAGATTACAACTCCCTTCAAGTTATGTTCCTTCGGCTGCTAATCAGCTTATTTTGTAGACAAAAGCCATTAGTATATTTCTGTTTAGAAAAGACTTTAACGAAGGAGTCCTGTGAAAAGATAGAAATTTAATGTTGATAACTTTTTCGAGCTTATTGTGGTAGACCAGAAAGTCCCAAACTATGGAAATTTGAAATTCTTCATACAATGAATAGTTAAGCTTTTCTGCTAAAATTGTGGGGAAGATGTCCTGGCCTCAGACATACAGAAATGAGCGAAGCTTCGGTGATTGCCCTACTTATGGGAAACTTTGGACCCAAAGAATGCCAGTAGCGAGTAGCTATTTTGTTTTCATTGAGTTTTCGAAAAATTTCCTCCCTTCGCGCCTGAATTGTGGCCAACGAAGTTAAAGCAACTAAATTTCGATTTTGGGTGCAGCTGTGTAAGATCATGGTGAGATTCTCACAAATGAGATAGAAGCTTAATTTTGCAACTGTTAGAACGTAGATGAAGAAAGCTTTACAATGATATGCAGAATTCTTATCGAAGAAGAAACTATGAAGGAAAAAAGTTGTTCGGAAAATAGGCCTAGGAAAACCGACATTGTTTTTGCAACAACCTAATAGTTCAGGGGGTTTTATTGAGACAGCAATAAGAAGAGAGGGGGGGGTCGTAATCAGCGATTGTGTGCCGCACCTCTTGCTTGATCCTGGTTGCTACTTAATCTATCAACTGCGTTTATCACATTCAGCCGACCCTATACCATCTTCAAGCCTATTCAGGTGCAAACTTGGCATAAGAATGAAAAAATTTAGCGATGCATGTGTTCTCCACAAGCGTTTTTCGCTCAAAAGCATCTGTTTATCTCCTTACATCAAGCCCCAGTTTTTTGGCTCAAGGTTGGCCAAATTAGAAAGTGCGAATTTTCAGAAATGTTTCTTCACGCTGGAAGAGGTAGGTGTTATCTAATATATAAAGAATCATTAGCTTAATTCAAAAATCTTCCAATATCGCGAAACTGCAGCGGGTCCGATCTTGCACCTTTAGATTACTGGTTCACTAGTTTTCATGTCTCTTCTGCGAGTGGCTAGAACTCCCGCCCGGCTTATCTTGTATGTGTGCATCTCGGATTTGTTCGAAACTAAGTTTTCATTCGGAAACGCAACAACGACGTACATACAGACAGATTTACAAACACACATTGAGCTTTATAGATAAGGTTGATGCATCTATTTGGCACTTTGAACAGTTGACTTTAGAGAAGCAGCAGTTACTCAACTAATTATGGAAACAGATGTTAGCGTAAGGTTCAAGCACCTATAGCAACTCGCCAAAAGCGAAAAATTAAAACACCAGGTTCTGAGTCTAAAGTGATTCAGATAATTGAAATCTAACTACACGATTCGAGAAAACCTCGTACGTCAATACAACCGAGCGAAGCATCATTCTTTGATCCAAGGAAATGGAAAGCATATAGTTCTTTTCAGCTTCAACGATCCTTTCATCATTTCTTCTGGAGTGGAAAGTGGAAAATGAGCGACAGTTATCGCTGAAGAATTTGGACCGCATACTGGGACTTCAACTTGTTCATACTGCAAAAGCATGTTGAGTTAAAGATGCAATCTAGCAAAGCCCAACTGCTTCTTTTTAATGAACTCGTTTTCAAATTTTTTCAGAGCTCACAAAGTATCACAGCTCAAAAAATATCGCTTTACACTTTTGCTCCTTGAGGAAGCAAAAGCCTTTATCGACGTATTGAGTTGACTTCGAGAAGCTACTTCGTAAGACCTGGTACTTTTCTAGATAGTAAGTTATATCCTCCTTAGTACGCCTTGGTCGATCGAATTCTTTGCAACCTAGTGCATATTAAAGGGTTAGACATAGAAGAGCATAAAAATATCATGATATGACTAAGCGCGTGTCTGTCCGTTTGTCTGTCTGTGTGTGTGTTTATGTCTGTCCGTCATGAAATTCGTAGAGCGTATTGTAGGCAAGGTCTTAAGTGAAATTTTAGTCATTGCACCCTATCAGCATGTAGGTAAATGGTGGAGGACATTAGGTCGCCGAAAGAGGGCAGTCCCCGCGGTCATTTGCGACAAATACGCACCCTTGTACATAAGCGGACATGCGTTCCTGCAGGGAAACCGCGCGGGACTCTTCTTCGGCGATCTAATGTCCTCCACCCGTAGGTAAACAGTGCAGAAGCACAAGCTGATTCGATAAGGAACTTTTAAAAACTGCGCGTCAAACGAGTCCACGCGACTTTTAGCCGAAAATGTGGGTTGGGGATTGTACTTTGGCGAAGTTGTGGATCTGGTTAAGAAGCCAATGCGCAGACCATAGACCTAAACCCAAAAAAGTTGAGTAAAACACCTATTTTTACGCAAAGTCAGCGCCAAAAAAGTAATTGCGTAGACCACCAATTTGTCAAGGTTTCATCTAATTACTTGCGAAGATTTCTGCTCAGAAATGTAAGTGAAAGAAGTAACTGTTCTTTGTGGGAACTACCCGAAAATAATAGCTTAAGTAACTGACCGAAAGTCTCTTCTATCTTCTACGCAAAAAGTTTCTCCTTTCAATTTACCGCCCGGAAAAGCTCATGGAATGAGTAGTTGTTTACTTCGTTAATGATGGTCAGCATTGCATAGTGAGTTTCAGAGTCAACATCATGCGAGCAGCAGAGGTGCAGCACTGGTCTTTTTGAATAATACTTCCAATTATCGTACCTTATATCGCACCTGCTAATGTAGAGTTTGCTCAAATCGGCAGCAGGCCGAACCGCTGACGTAAATTTGCGCAATCGCAGCGCTAAGCGTTTGCGCTGATATGCGCGCTGTCGGAGAGAGCGAGTTTGAAGAGAAAGCAGAGAAGCAGTGGGCGTGACCGCGAAACCCTAGAGACGGACTCCCGCCATGCCAGTTTTGGCCTTTTTGGGATTGGGGCAGACTTTAACAAAAAACAGAACTTTCAATAATTGAAACCCTACCTTAACCTACTGCGCAAATTCTCTTTAACACGTTTCGGACCGCGAAATCGCGCGCGGCGAAAAAGAGGGTAATTTCAGCCGTTAGCCAACAAAGGGACCTTAATTCGTAGATTGTGTGCTATATCTGTAATCAGCATGTCAGACAAGATTTATACCCAAAGTTCTGAGTGAAGTCGAAGTGTTTAAATTTTGTCGTCTGAGAGGAACTTCTTTGCTTTCTTGAAAGATAGGAACAAGAACTCAGTTTCTAGTTGTATCCAAAAGTATCTATGTACAAGATACACATCATTATTGGAACTACGGTTTTTCTCTTCGTATTCAAAGCTAAGAAAAGTTGCGACGTCGCACGCGTCGTTCGCGTTGCTGCACTTCGTTGCAACTGATGTTCGATTTGTCCTCATATCTCCTGAATAAATATCGGTGGCACAGCTCTACAGACCCTTTCAAAACGGAGGAGCTTAGGCCTTTGATTTGATAACCTTGCAAGAAGAAGACCAATGTGCGCGCATGCAGCTTCTGTAAGCTGTCGCAAATACACCAAGTCTGGCACAAGCAAAGCGCGTATACCACCAATTATGATAGTTGCTGTGCCTGCTGCGACTGAACTCGCATAAGTATGCCTTAAGTCTCGCGCAAGTTCACGCGATTTCATTGCCGCCATTCTTTTAACAAGACAAACAGTTACGAGTCTATTGCATGTCAATCATCTTGCATGTCGGTTGTGATAGTTAGTTACGATTGGTCGTATCGGACAACTTTGTCCGAGGCTTAAAGGGAGTGTCCAAGCAAATCTGGGCACATGGTTTTTCGTTTAGAGATGAGGGGGTCTTAGCTGAGGCATTGCAAACAATAGCGCAAATGATTCATTCACGGCTGAGAAATCCATCCCCAAATGCTCCGCGCCTCCGCCGTGACCGCCGTAACATTTGAGATGGGTCTCAGCGCGAACGTTGTTTTAAAGTGAGCGATGTCGATTTGGTCACGGCGCAGGCGCGGGGTTTTGTGAGACGGATTTCTCAACCGTGATTAAACCATTCACGCCGCCGTTTGCGCAGTGCCTTAGTTATGCCCCCGTCATCAATTTCCAGGCGAAAAACCATTGCGCTCAGATTTGCCTGGACACTGCCTTTAAGCCTTATTCCGCAATAGAATGTCTGCGAAGACAGTGGCTAGTTAGGTTAACAACTTTGAGGTTTCTATCGCTAACTCCACTGGATGAGCTGAGTCTCAATCCGCATTTCACAGATTTTGAAGATATTAATCCAATGACGACGATGTGGACCATTGGTAGCCCACGCACTTTTTGCTGCCAGGGACGAGGCCGGTGACCCGCACCTGTTGCAAAATCATACCCTTTGCAGCTCTAGTATTTCTTCCATAGAATAATATTTTCTCCAACTTTTTGCACTCCCGAGACCTGTGGGCTCCGTCGTTCAAAAAAATGTCTATAGCTGTGTATGAAACAACCTTGCATTTCGTAACTGACCACAGAACCTTGCCGCCGAAAGTGTTGTGCAAAGTGTTACGGGAAGCGGAAGCCACCCTCTGTCTAGAATGGATGGCTGCCCGAGCATAGTCCAATTGCCGCCGAGATGAGTGGGGTGTCCCCACCCATCTTGGCTCTACGAGACAATCGCTCTCTAGAGAGCGGAGTTTCACTTTGCGCCTAAACCGCAGTTTCCGCGTCCAGGAAAGCGAGCTGTCAGCACCTGCATAAGCTGCAAGCACATTTTGAACTCAGCTTAACCAGGAAAATGGAGAACGATAAATACTTTAAAGTCACCACCCCCCGAGCCACTGCCTTAAATGTTTCTTATTCATTAGGAGTTTCGATTTAACAAGAGAGTTTAGGACTAAGAAGGTTAGACAGAAATTACAAACTAACAAGGAAAGACTTCATGCTCATCGTCGATATAACTCGGCATTCGAATTACAATATAGTTTCTAAGCCGTCGACCAAGGCTGGCAAGACTTTGTTATCAGGCGAGACCAACGTTTCGGAAATGCATCCGCCTTCTTCGAGGCCTGCGCTGCGCCATGAGTAAGAATCTTACTAATCTTACTAGTTAACAATAGCTTATCGACCTAATAAAGTCTTGCTGCAACCTTGGTTGACAGTTGAGAAACTACATCATAACAAAGAAAGGATGGTTAGTCGAAACATTTTTCAAGGTAAAATCTGTACCATCCTGAAAGGCACAAAACGCTGACTCCAAAAAAAAAGAACGGTGTTGATTAGGCGTTTATTAAAGTAAAAAGTTGAATGTGCAAGTAGGATAAATAATGGTTATCTCTCTTGGCGCTCAAATGGAGCAGTAATAGATATAAGAGCAATTAGGCAATGAATTTCTCAGATGCAGTTCAAAATATAGGGTGTTTTGAAAGTAAGTACACACTTTTTGATCGTTAATAACTCACTACCCAATAAGTCTTTTCAAAGCTTAACACATTCACGACAAAACGACACATCGGTTGGTTGTACGTGTTCTGCGATTTCGGACGATACAACCCACTAGTGGGTCGTAAGGTTCCTGGAGCTCTGTCTTTGTCAGTTTGAGATGGAATTCTGCGGATTCTAGCAAGTCTAGCATATGATTGGGGACACCTAGGCGAAGTTCCATTAACAATGGTCCGGAGTCGGGATATTGTAACATAATGTTACGGTAGCAATACCGTAAATAAAGATGGAGCGCAAATTTCAACTCAAATTCTTCGCAGAATGATGCTGTTTCTGAAATAACAATTGTACGTGCACGTGAGTTGGGGATGGCAAAAGAGTGATGCTAGCCCATTAAAAAAATTTTCGATTTATTGATTTTATTGATTTTTTGCATTCTTCATCCCGGGAAGCTTAAATCTTACATATATATGTTTTTTAGCATGCTGATTGATGTATAGAATATTCCACTTACTGCTGCCGTAACTCGAATGTGAGACATGAATAACGTGGACACTATGATTATGATCAGCACGTGAATTAACCCTAAAACATACTTTTTCATGAAAATCCATAATGTTGGTAACCTTACAGTATAACGCCAAAAATGAGATAAATCATATTTTGATAGTCAACGCCTTAGATATGCCCTTTGGAGAGATTCTGGAAGTGTTTTGAATTTTTCTCCAAAAGACTACCATTTCGGATAATACGACCCACGGGTGGGTCGTAAGTTTGACAAAGCGAAAAAGGCTCTAGTCCGAAACGGCAGAAAAATAGACCGATAGAAAAGTCGGCCTTGTCGTGAATGTGTTAAGGAAGCATTCGATAGTGGAGGTTTCAACTTAGATTTACATTATAGAGCGAATCACCCAGCACTCTTTATAACTGTAGGATTACGGTAGGAACTTTGAAGAAGGTGTTGAGCCATCACTGGCTAGATATTGTTCCAAAATGGATGCTCAATGGGCCGAAAACTCTATCCTTAGGCTAGACTGAGTCTATGACCATTAATATAAAATTCGCACTTTACTGCAAAGCTTTTTTGCATACGTTATGCCAACCGCGGAAGTAAGCCGCGTTTTAAGTAAACCGCGTTCTTTTTTCAGGTTTTTCAAAAAATGTGATTGGACCATTTAAGACCGTAAAAAACTGGTAAACAGTGTATGATGAAGTCAGCACGTCTGAAAACACTGCTACACGACATTCCAAGTTTCTTGGAACTTTTTGTTCAAACCGCCTATTTCACAATGAATTTGTGGGCTAAAAGTTTCTATAGTAATGAACGGCGATGGATGATTCGCTCAAAACTGCCAATACGGGGTGTTTGAAAAGTTCGCGTCCTTAAGCACTTCAACTGCGAATGCTAACTCGATTTTTGCTGTGTGTTCGCCAAACCTAGAAACCACTGAATCAACAAAGAAAGATGTTTTTTGAATCAAGATGCCCTAAAGAATTCCGAAGTAGACAATTTTTTCAGCTTCCTTGGAGAGTGCGTTATCTGATTGGTTCTTTTTTTTTCAACCTCGAAAAAGAAAAACAGCTTTGGTTTTTTTACTACAAATAGTCCTAGAGTTACACTTTCTTCGTATAACAAAAGTTTTTCAGTAGCTTGGTAATGAAGATTTTTTCATGTGCTGAATCACAGCAGACAGTCGCGGCACCAGTTTGCGTTGAATTTTTTTTTTAGTTTAAAAAAATTTGGAGGTCTTATTTCAACATGTATTTGTATTTGAAAACAAGTACAACTCTCTGACCTTCGTTGTACTTGTTTTCAAAAATTTTGCACACTTGTGAAGGTTTTAAAGTAAAATTTAAAAAATTTCGGTGCTGTGCTTTGTTGGCAAAAAAATCCTGAAACTCGATCTCTTTATTTCAAGGCACGGTATTTCAAAAACGAACTTACTTTTACGAAAATTAAAATCACATGTAAGAAACCTTAAAGAAAGAACTTTCAGTACACCTAGTTTTCTGTGAATCATGTTTCCTTCTTTGTAACAAGCGTTTCAAGGAAAGTGGTTTGGAAAGCTATATTGATGTGTGTTTCAATCTAATTTTAAAAAACTTAAAAACCAAAAGGAAGAATGGTTTCACTGAATTAATAGTTTCTAGGCCTAATGAGCACAATGGAACAAAAAGCGCGTCAAAATTTGAACTGGAAGTACTTGAAGACACGAACTTTTCAAACACCCTATATAAGTTGGAGTCTCTTATACTGAATGGCACTTGAATAAGGAAAGGACTTAACCTTAGGAGAGTTATCAATGGTCAAAAAGCGTGTACTAACTCTTGGGGCATCCTGTATACCCACGCTCCGCTGCCTCATTTAAATGTTAACAAGTCAGCAACTGGTTTTTCAACGTGCATTCAATCTTTTGCTCTAATGAACGCCTATAACTCTTCTCCCATAAAAGCTCTGTGGATAACGAAGACAGATTTGTGATTAAGATGATATGCATCCCATTACCTGAAGATGATTTTGGATTTTGTCTTTCCAATCCACAATCTTTATTCCTAATGATCCTGCAACGAAACCGGTGTAAAACACGTCCTGAAAATTATAATTTGTGAAGAACTTTATAAAATCGAAACAGGCTCGAGTATTTATTTTGAACAACGTGATTTTTCATGTAAAACCTACTTCCATGATAAATAATGGCAGTCGCATTGACTGCTGCAATATCCGTTTCACGGCAACATTACCCATTATATATAGAGGTCCATTACAATAAGCAGGGTACAAACGCGGTGGCCACTTGCCTTTCGGAACATACCTCCAAAGAACTTGCATTTGATGATAATAGGTTTACGCAAGGTAACGTCACAAAAAAGATGGAGTAATATACCAGCTTGGAAAGTTGTGCATTTTTATGCCGCAAACTTTGAAATTTACAAGGGAAAGAAACAAGGAATATAAGGAAAAAAGTTTCTGGGATTAATAGATTTCTTCTGGAATTGACAATCGAAGGTGCGACATTTGAACATTCCAAACAAGAATTCGCAACGTAAAAAAAAACATGGCATACATAAAAAGGTGCTTGAAAAAAATTAAGTGGTAAACAGAACAAAGCATGCCAAAACAGCACTGAACTTAAACTGATTACAATAAATAATGCTGTTTGGTATTGTCTGCCTTGGCGTCGTTGAATTTGGCGCACACCACTACGTGGTTGGATAGCTATAGGCCACCTCCATCTCTTTTGGCTGTAACTAACGAAAGAAACCTTTTAACTAGAGTTGGCTTACTAAGAGATGTTTGTTAATGAAACTGTGAGCGCTGATTACAAGCATCAATTATTCGTCGATTTTCATCCGCTAGTCAAATAAAGGAAACACGACAAATTCCTGCTTTCGGTTCGCATTGCCAAACGACTGTAGTACTTCCGTATAACAGCTCAAGGGTCAGATTTTTGGGGGTCTGAGGCGCACATTTCTATCTGGGGCTGGAATGGGGAGTTTGTGGACTATCCTGATTGCACACTACAGAGTGCGGTGGATTTTTTTCCGATCTCGTGGCCCAACTACGCCAAGGGCAGTTCGGCACATGAGTACCGAGATTCCAAAAAGCTGATTCTTCAAAGCAAATCAAACTTGGATATGTTGGCAATTGATGTTACATAACAATCAAGTTTCAACTCGCAGAATCTTTGAAATTTTCGTGATTTGGTGCAGTTGCGTTTTTCATGACTTACCAAAATCGAAACCTGCGGAAATAATTTTTCAAAGCTAAAAACAGCAGGCCAGGAAAATCTGAAAATGTTGACGTATAGTCCAAAATATGCTCTAATTGTGCCATCTTACTTTTTACCAAAACTTCGGAATAAAATTTTTGAAGTTCAACCGAAACTTTGGGCAGAGAGAAATGACGGCGAAGATTTTTTGTAATTATCAAAAAATGCATGGAGGATTCTGGTCCGAAAACCGTAATCGTAACAAAGAGAAGAAAAAGCCGCATCGTGCATTTTGATACTTTTTTAGATCCTTGTTCTGCGTGGTTTTGCAGTCATTTGAAAAAATCGACAAAACTTTGGGACAACCTATTATATATCAGTTTGTGTAATAAGTTCTGTCCCATGTTTTCTTTCGATTTTGTATCATAAGTAATTACGTTATTTGAAATAAGGCGTGTATGCTTTTAAAAGCTCTAAATCTGCCTTTCAATTTCATATGCATCATCCCCAATTTAGCAGAATAGTGAAAAAGACTTTTTAGCATTGAAAGAAAAAATCCGAGGAAATAAAAAATCCATATTTTCGACATCTTTTTCTCTCCCTTTTCCCTTTTCCGTTGGTAATCTTTACTCAACAAACTTGACAATAAACGAACAATATACTAGACCTTTGTTGCATTGCCACTATTTGTGCTTGTTCCTTCTCTTTTACCGACTTTTTAATAACTCTTTTTCAATAGTTGTCGAACCGGAACTTTGCTGCTGCGATGTTCGTCTTCTCGCGTAACCTAAGCTGTGTGGCCCCAAATACTGAATTTTTGAGCGGTTAACTTATGAGTTTTATAGCCAAAGACCGTCTCTTCTGCCTTTTCTGGATTATCCGTCTACCGTCCTTTCCCAAGACTGCCTTCATTGCCCAACGTCAACATTGAAGAAAAGTTAGAAAGAAGACTTTTGAGTTTACAAAAAAATCTCTCAAACTTTTCAGCACTGCAGAAGTATTTTTCCTTACGCTCACAGATTTTTCAAGCTGTTTTGTAAATATTCCGATCCAAACGAGGGCGACTTAAAATAGTAGTTGAAAATTTGTTTCTCTTTGATTTTTCAAATCTAATGCTGGAAAACTTCGGTTTTCCTGATATAGAAAATCAAAAAAAGAATTTGGTAGAGAGGATAGGAGCTTTCAGGTGCGAATGTACATTTTGCAAAATACGTTTCAAAATACTGTAAAATTTTGAAAAATGGGACAGAACTTACTACACAATCTAATACAATGTTGGGAGGTCACTTCGTGTACACTGCTTGTAAACCTAGAGAGGGGGAATTTGAATCACACGTGCTTATCACTGCCACACTAATCTCACACTGCAAAACCAACATTTCGAAGTCTAATATGCTTTTTTGGATGACGCGAGAATTTATTCAATTCAGAAAGACACAAAAGCTGTTTACAATGAAAAAGAAATGATAAACACAATAATGAGTAAATGTCTATGGGAACTTGGATAGTGTATGAAAATTTATGGATAAATTATATATACTGAAGGCGTGACCTTTTTTTCTAGCTAAATTGTCTCAAGCCATTCAGCGTTTCAGGTGGCCTAGAGCCATAAAGCCATAAGATTTTTCCGTGCACACACGACTTTCCTACATTTCCCAAAGACGCAAAACTTTCGGTAAGTCGTACCATCTAGAAGTATCGGACTGCTTGAACTTACCACTTACTACTGGAATCTCGTATTGGCTCCCTATTGTTGAGGAGCGCGCAGAATAGCTTTTCTGTCGTCATTTCGGATTTGTCCCATGTGTCGAAAAGACGATCGAGATCAACGGAAACATCATCATCTACTTTCATCAAAAAGGGTACACTCCCGCAGTGCCGTAGATAGAACGTGAGACACACATGCACCTAATCAAAATGATTAGTGTGATAGACACACGGACAGAAACACATAAGCCTTGGATCAAATAGTCCCTACAAGGCTCCAAATTTTCAATGGTTTACCTAAAACTACGCAAAAAAAAACTTTCTTGTTTGCGCTGGCATATACGATGCTGATTTCTAGGTCCGGTTACATCCCGGTTAAAGTTCTGCCAAACTTTTCATTCCCTCAAAACAACCTTGACCTGAATTGTGCGATGCTTTTTAGAGCATTAAAAGAAACCAAAGTAGCTTGTTCACTGTTTTTGAGGGGAATTGGTAGCAAAGTCACTATCGATCAGCATGCTTATTCAAATAAGAACTTGCTGACTGCCCCTGCCGCTTCAATCTCATCAGACTAGATATACTGATTGTTTACGTGAAAATTTGATAACGAATCGTTTGAAAGTAGAAATCTTAAGGCTATTTTGGTTGCATTTAATGGATTCTTTATTTTCTTATGCCTCGTTGCGATTCATTTCCACTAGCTTTTGGGAATCTACCACTCTTCGTTTTTTGGGTAATTTTCGAAGTGCTTGCCAAGGTCAATTTTAGCAGATTTCCTAGATTTCTGTTGCTTGAAAGACCATAGAAAAGAGGTGGACATAATCAGATCTCAGCAACCTCGTCATTTTCTCAAGGGTTACTATTAATGTGAGCAGAAGAAAAGGAGACAATGCGCTGCGCATTACCTTGTAGAATTTGTGGCGTAGATGTTGTTTGCGAGAAGCAGAGAAGCGGCGCAACTGCTTGCATGAGATAACGAAAAGGTGCGAATCGTAATGGTAGAGTTGGATCAATGCTTAGATTGACATGTCAGAAAATTTCGTTCAATTAAGACTCAAATAAGCTCATTTGCATGTGCGGTAATCTTCAACAATACTGAACTCAAACTTGTACACTTTGAGCAGCTATGAACTTTGGGTAGTACCTCGCAATAAGACACTTGAGGACTCAAACCAGTGCTGCAATGGGGAGAGACTGTCATTGAAGGCAGTGTCCGGGCAAAAAGTCGATTTCGAGATTTTGTTCTCACTGGGGCCTACTCGTTATGCTGAATCCGAAAATCCATACTGGAAAGCGCGAAAACGGCGAAAAAGGGCTCTAACCTGAAAGTGAAATCGAAAGGGGGCGGGGTCTTTCCCAAGGTGAATTCACGGTCCCAGCTTCCGGAGCAAACTTCTCGCTTCCGATTTCAGATTATGCATTCGCACTTGGTCTGTGGAGATGTCAGGACGGTTAGCGGTATCGAAAAAATCGCTCCGGACAGCTGGGACCGTGATTCACCGTGGGGAAGACCCTGCCCACTTTTGATTTCACTCCTGCCTTAGAGCCCTTTTTCGCCATTTTCGCGCTGTCCAGTGTGGGTTTTCGGATTCAGCATAGCGAATAGGCTTGGGTAAGCACAAAATCTCAAAATCGACTTTTTGCCCGGACACTGCCTTAAAGGGCCGAACATCCCCGCTGAGGAGGGGATTGCAGCTCAAAAGAAAGCTTCATATTCTGAAGTTCCAGATATCTGGATTTCACGCTGTCTACCTGTCCGTAAGTATTCCTGCTATCCTTCACTATGAACATGTTGAACAGGAGCGAGAAGCTGTACGAACCACATCCAGCTTTTGTATGATCCCTGAGATCCCCGGCGCTTTTCTTTAAAATCATTTTTCTTTCTCCGAAGTTAAAGAAAGCCTCCCAAAGTTGTATTGAACATCTAACACAACAGTGCTAAGCATGTTGCCGATGAGAACAAATGAGTTTTTGAAAAATCGAATTTTTCGGTAAACCCCAAATTTCGACCTATGGATCATCGAAAATTTCATGACTTCAAAACATCATTTGTTCTTATCAGCAACATGCTTAGCACTGCTGGGTTAGATAATCTGCACAACTATGGAAGTTTTTCGTTAACTTCGGAGAAAGAAAAATGACTTCAAAGAAAAGCGCCGGGGATCATCAGGGATCATACAAAAGCTGGAAAATGCGGTTTGTACAGCTTCTCGCTCCTGTTCAACATGTTCATAGTAAAGGATAATAGAAATACTTACGAAGAGGTACACAACGTAAAATCCAGGTATCTGGAGTTTTTGAAATATGAAGCTTTCTTTTGAGCTGCGATTCCCTCCCCTCGGCGATGTTAGTGCCCTAACTATAGTCGTCTTCACCCCACTATCGGCTTAGTGGACGAATTCGAATTCAAACTGGAGCAGGTCGGTCGCAGCAGAGCGCGGCACCTGAACCCTCAGTTCAAAACTACGCATACTTCTTTTTGGCTTTTTACACCGTTGCTGTTTGCTGTCATGTACTATGCCAATGTTGCCAGTTGTCGCGGCTCGCGATCGACCGCTCCTCACAGCATGTGGCCGGGAGCACCGTGTTGCCGCGCGTCTCGGTCGTGAGCACGGTCGCCGCGCTTTATGGCGGCTACCTTGTTCGCTCCGAGACCACACCACGTAGGCACGCCCCAGCCACCGCTATAAATAGCGCGTACGCGCGCCAGGGCGGCTCTTCTCTCGTCTTATCATCTTACTATTGTCGTCGTGCCGCCATTGTTATTGATTGGTTGGGTCTCTACGATGTCGCCGTCGTGTTTACGTCCCCGTGCCTCGCGCGATTGGATGAATCGTTGATGGATTGTTTGGATGCACGCGCGAGGATTGAATTCCAGGATGATGAACGTCACGAAGCGCCTCGGACGCGCAGGATTCGTTGGGAGCTCTGCTTGATGTTGTTGGTTTACATCATGGGGTCGGTGTTGCCGTGCCGTAGCTGCTGCCTTGGCGGAGCGCGGCCGGCCTGTGGGTAGCTCCCTTGGATGTCGGGAGAGTGTGTGAGTGTGTTAGTGTGCGAGTGTGAGTAAGTCAGAGCCCCCATCGGTAGCCCGGGGTAGAGCTTAACTCTCCCCGTGGTAAGTATGTTTACGTTTATTTGTGTCGCGTATTTATCCTGTGTATTTGTTTAGTAAATTTACATATTTTTTACTGTTTCGTGTGTGGTGTAGGCGTGACGCGCCATTGTGAGTTAGCGCGCGCCCTCAGTGGCGAAAGTCCTTCGGGGACAGGAGCTGAGGCGTATGGCAGTCGAGCACTAGGTGAGGGAGCGCAGAGCCCACCGAGCCGCAACACCAGTCAAATTTGTGTTTTGTTATTGTTGAGTGTTGTTTCGCGCACTTATGCTGCTCGGTTTTGGCTTAGGTGATTTTATTTAGAGGTAGTGTCCCGGCAACTTGCGCCCTGAGGGATATTGCTATGGTGGGTTTTTTAGTCATCTCATTGCCCTCCAGGCGCAGTCCGGCTGGTTGATCTTCCCCCTGGGACGAGGAAATAGCCTTGAACCGGCGCGCGCAACCCCAATCGGCGCGCTCGGACGACTTTTCTCCTGTTCGGCGCGGGACCCTACCACCGCTCTCCCGCATTGAGTATGCTATCCAAAGCAAAAATTACAGGCAGCAAGGTCTTCGCGCCAGGGCCTTCCAACTTTCTAGTGATTCGTTTGAGCTGCCTTCTGGAAATTGGGTAAACGCTTCGAGGAGGTCTTTTCACCCGTTTAGAGCTCAAATTCGGGGTCTACCGGTAAAAGGCTCAAAACATGCGGAAAGATGGAAATGCAAAATCTGCCGGGACACTGCCTTTAAGTTTCTACAAGCGATGCAGATGGCAAATTTTTGTGACATTCATCACTAAAACAGCACTTCTGCACGTGCTACTTACAAAGGAAAAAGATTTACAGCAGAGGTTGCCCATGTTTCTGTAATTACTTGTAAAAGACTGAAGTAGCGAGCTTAGCAGTACAAAAGAACGACAACAACGAAATAGTATTGTGAAGACGAAAATACTCACAAAACGAAGATTAACGAACAACTACAGTGAAAAAAACCATGAAGAGACATGTGCAAAACTAAACTGAGGGTTCAGCGTCGCGCACTGTCGCCAATGGCCTGCTCTTGTTCGAATTCAAATCCGCCCACTGACCGATAGTGGGGTGAGGACGACTATACCATAATTTCATAGTAGAAAGGCTTTAAGTCGATATAGTCATGAACAGCTTCAACTAAGAATGGACTTGTATTTTCTCCTAGTATAAACTCATACTTTTTGATTGCCATCCGTTTGAGCTTTTTACACTCTATTCATCTGTTGCAACTTGCTTCAATTCTCTATTTTTGTTTTTTTACGGTATGATTTTTTAAGCTTTTATTGCGCTAAAGATAGAACTTTCCTAATTTTTTGGCCTTCAAAGATAGAAATTTTCTTACACTTGACAAAACTTTTTGAAAAAAGCTCAAACCTCTTCTAAACGATAAGCTATTCTTTCAGTGATTGCAGTAAGGAAGCGCATATACGAGGATGTCCAAAAAATTCGTTCCAACTTCTCCAATGCGCCACTTCAAAGATTCAAGACCAAAGGAGAGAGATACTTATACGGGTGACGTCTTGTCGTTGACTGGTAACTCAAAACTAAAACAAAAATTGAAATCGTAAAAAAATCGAGCTGTTCAGTTAACAGTTACTTTCCGACCACTCTGATAGCATTATGTTAAAAAAAAATCTGAATTGTCTCCACAACAGTCTTTGTTCTGTATGATTTTGAGTTGTCCAATGCCGAGTCCTTAATTCGATACCTTCTAAGTCATACAATTTCTTGATTTTCTATGGTCAGATGTCGAAACAAGAAATGTGGCATAATGACGTCAAAGCAGTCTTGTGGCATATATTAACGAAGCCTTGAGCTTAAAATCACCCTAACTATGATTATGGCTTATAAACATATTCACAACATAATTGCAAGGATTTCCTCTCATGCGTTGAACTTACCTTGAGGTAAGCGACTCTAAAACGCGATAAACCTTCAATCTATTTTGAGGTTGAAATCATCTTGCTCAATCAACATTCCTCCGTCTTCGCTGAGCAATTCACAATTACGCATACAAGATAAAATTTACGAGCCAAATAAAAAAATCGTGTGTTGAAAGTGCCAATTTAGCTATACACGCCATGTAGGCTTGTTGCTAGACCAAAACATGCAGCTAGGTTGATTTTAGGGTAAATGGTAAAAAATGGGCCACTTGAGAAGCCATTAGGCTTTCCAATTTTGATAGATGTTAAAATATGTTATTAGGTTTTCAAGAAAATAATGTCGTTGTTTATTTGATTGCTTCAACAAAGCAACCAGACTCAACCCAGCAAAGGGTAAGGGGTACTGTTCGACAGAGCAAAGCAAGCTCTACAAGATGGCGTTCAAGATTTTGCGTCATGCTCGATCCACGGAGAGTTCGAACTCAAAATCTAAAGATTTCCAAATGCCCAAAAAATCGAAAAAAACCAGATCTCCGTCCAAATAATTTCTACGGACCTCCCACTCGCTCACATCAATACTATCGATATCTGATATCCATATGTGCGATTGCCGTACTTTTTCCTTGACTAGAAACTGAGAAAACGAAAATTTCCCTGATTTTCTCAAAGCAATGCTGGGCCGTTTTTGCACATGTGATTCTATACTACAAGCCTAGGTAAGTATAACTGTAGATTTTCAGCGCATTCCAAGCGGTGGTTTTCAAAAAATAACGAATTCGGATTTTTTGGTTTCAGTTTCAGTGCTAATATCAACATTTCTCGAAAAGTACCGCTCGAAACAGGCTAAAAACCTACAGTTATACTTACCTAGGCTTGTAGTATAGAATCACATGTGCAAAAACGGCTCAGCATTGCTTTGAGAAAATCAGGGAAATTTTCGTTTTCTCAGTTTCTAGTCAAGGAAAAAGTACGGCAATCGCACATATGGATACCAGATATCGATAGTATTGATGTGAGCGAGTGGGAGGTCCGTAGAAATTATTTGGACGGAGATCTGGTTTTTTCGATTTTTTGGGCATTTGGAAATCTTTAGATTTTGAGTTCGAACTCTCCGTGGATCGAGCATGACGCAAAATCTTGAACGCCATCTTGTAGAGCTTGCTTTGCTCTGTCGAACAGTACCCCTTACCCTTTGTTGGGTTGAGTCTGGTTGCTTTGTTGAAGCAATCAAATAAACAACGACATTATTTTCTTGGCAACCTAATATTATCTTTCAGATAATACCTATCGTCGAGTTATTCGTATCTTAATATGCGTACTGCACAACATGTGCGCTATCTGACGAACTCCAAGATTAGAACCTGCTCATTGCCAACGATTTCTCCTTGTTTGTCTGTCTGTTTTTGTTTTTGTTGGATATATGTCAGTGAGCAGAACACGAATTTCAAGTTCGTTAGGCTAGAAAAGGTTGTACTGAAAAGTAACTAGTAAGGGTGCCGTTGCTTGCCGTGCAAAGTGTGCACTTTCACATATTAAGTTACAAATAACTCGAGAGTATATAAGGTCATTCACATGATTAATGATTTTTGTACTTGCTGAAATGCAAAGTTAGTCACTTCGATAAATTATGAAGTTTGAGCAGTATCTGCGCAGCAAAACATCTGAGACCACCCAAAGTACTACTGCTGGAGTGGGTGGTGGGACAGTCACTAAATCCACGACGGCTTGGTAGTCTCAACTTTCAAAGTCAGAAGATATGGCCATTAGCAGCTTTGAGGACAAAGACACGCGCTATTCAATTCTTTGCAGATGAACGCATGTTTTCTAGGTACCGTCTGATAGAGCTTTTTGCGCTCTATCCATCCATATGCAGCTTATCTCAGATTTTATCTTTTACGTTGGTGCAAAAGTTCTTTCGCACCAAATTCAAAAATTCATAACTTGTTGAATTCTCAACGAATTTACAAGATCTAAACTTCGTATAAGAGAGAAACTCATGCTCTTTGCAACTTTGCTTGAATTGTTCTTCAATGTGTACACAAAATCACTCAAAACTTGAATTTTTCGTGTAGGGTAATAAAAAATCGGAAACTTGCAGCAAAAATCGGAGCAGTCAGTGTTGTAGGCTCCTACACGAGCTCTTTCTAACAGTGCAAAGTTTGCGCCGATTGAGCGTCTCTGTGAAGAGATGAATTTCCTGAAAAATGCCAAAATAAATCAAATTCGCCTTTTTGTATTGCTTGCTCGAAAATCATAACTTTTCATAATAATTAATAGTTAATATATGCCACAAGACTGCTTTGACGTCATCATGCCACATTTCTTGTTTCGACATCTGACCATAGAAAATCAAGAAATTGTATGACTTAGAAGGTATCGAATTAAGGGATCGGCATTGGACAACTCAAAATCATCAGAACAAAGAATGTTGTGGAGACAATTCAGATTTTTTTTTAACATAATGCTATCAGAGTGGTCGGAAAGTAACTGTTAACTGAACAGCTCGATTTTTTTACGATTTCAATTTTTGTTTTAGTTTTGAGTTACCAGTCAACGACAAGACGTCACCCGTATAAGTATCTCTCTCCTTTGGTCTTGAATCTTTGAAGTGGCGCATTGGAGAAGTTGGAACGAATTTTTTGGACATCCTCGTATATGCGCTTCCTTACTGCAATCACTGAAAGAATAGCTTATCGTTTAGAAGAGGTTTGAGCTTTTTTCAAAAAGTTTTGTCAAGTGTAAGAAAATTTCTATCTTTGAAGGCCAAAAAATTAGGAAAGTTCTATCTTTAGCGCAATAAAAGCTTAAAAAATCATACCGTAAAAAAACAAAAATAGAGAATTGAAGCAAGTTGCAACAGATGAATAGAGTGTAAAAAGCTCAAACGGATGGCAATCAAAAAGTATGAGTTTATACTAGGAGAAAATACAAGTCCATTCTTAGTTGAAGCTGTTCATGACTATATCGACTTAAAGCCTTTCTACCATGAAATTATGGTATAGTCGTCCTCACTCCACTATCGGTCAGTGGGAGGATTTGAATTCGAACAACAGCAGGCCAGTGGCAGCAGAGCACGATACCTGGACCCTCAGTTCAGGTGCGCATGTTTCTTTCTGGTTTTTTTTCACTGTAGTTGTTCGTTAGTCTTCGTGTTGTAATATGTTCGTCTTCAAAATAGTATTTCGTTGTTATCGTTCTTTTGTACTGCTAAGCTCGTTACTTCGAGACTTTTACAGGTAATTACAGGAAATGGGATGAGTAGGTACTGAAGGTTGCATAAAGAAATTACTAACTTTGAAGGAAGCGTCACCATTGAATTTGATTCAGCGCGTTAGTTTTTGCTGAAACTGAGTAACAATATTTGAATTATAGCTGAGTTCAGACGATTTAGGGTTAACAAACAAATTATTTAGGCTGAGACCAATTTTATACATTACCATTGAGACATTAGGCAAGCGCAGCGTGACTTCGCACTAAACTTAATTCCATAACCCAAATCAGATTGTTTTTATCTAAAACAATGTTTTTTTTCCCACCAGGGGAAATATTTAGTCACATCTTAGTACTTCCTCATTCCTCGTTAACTGAGTTTCTCTGAAAGTCCTCCTTGTGAAAAAAAAAACCAGGAAGATCTACAACCTTTTTGTTTTTAATTATTAAGAATCCCAAACTGCATGGAGATCTGTACCGAATGCATATACTAGATGCGTCTTATCAAGCTCATCCATTTAACAACACTTGCTGAGCGGTTCTCTAAAAGAAGTTTTAAGCGTTTGAAAATCCAAACATGGCAAACTTCGGTGCCAAACCTTCAAATTAGTTTTTCGAATACACTCACCTATGTTACTGGCGAATGCATTCCTTATAGTCGATACCTTCAACACCATGCCAAAAAACACATTCTGGTGGAGTCCATGGCACGTTATGCACTAGAACCTTAATGACCCTTCGCACTTTCAACCACTCATAACTTCTCCTAAAAAATCGCACAGCTGTTATAAAAGTTAGACTTGCATTAGCTCATCAACACGCATCTAATACGTGCATCTTAATCCAGTTCGCCACCGCGAATTGGGATCCTTTAAGCTATGGAACGCTTCTGATAGAAAAATATTTTGTATGTAAGTATAATATCTATTGTCTGAAAATAAGCTGTTGCAGTCTGATATAAGAACTACTGAACGGGGAGCAAAGCTTTGAGTACGCCATCGTCGTTTTGTTGACTTGAGATATGGGTGTCCTCAGGCAAGGCCTCCCTTTATAATTGCATCTCTTTGCGTTGCTCTGAAATTTGCCCTATCCGAACTCATGGATCTTGATAGGATGCAATCAAGCGGCAGGCCTAGCAGAACGAAGGTGATGTCTTTGAATGTTGTATGTACGTACTTATTTTCGTCATCTCCTATTCAAGGTATATCTTTGAAAGCTTCTTACATGGGAGGATAATTGGTGACCATGGCTTTCTGATATGAGACGTACACCTATGTATTCATAGCGCTGATTCCATCTGCTTTTGATATCTGCTGCGCGTTTTTCTGAAAGAAGTTATGCGCATTTTTTGCAATCAAAAATTGAACTGTTTTATGAAAGGATTCACCAATACCAGTAGAACGTTCACTTGCGCACTACAAAAGAGCGTTCGAATAAACAAAGCTTTACGTTAAGCATAGAAAAACAGCTTCCGATATATCAGAGTCTAAGAAGCCTGAATTCTGATGATTCTGAAGAGATCGCACAGCAGATGATTAACATATATTTGGAACCAGCGTTTCAAGACGCATTGATATACATCTCGAGGCGAAAGTCCATTGTCGAGTACCTTCCTTTTCTTAATAATAAGCTCCAATAAATTATCTTTTAGATGTATAGGCCAAAAAACTCTCTTTCACCAATTTATTCTCCCTTCTTCTTAAGGAATAGTCGTAGAACATATGTTGCTAGCAGCTGCCCTCTTACATCAGACAACTATGATATCATTGTAGCTCAGCCGACTAAGGAGATGCTATGCCTACTGAAGAAAGATTTTGAAAACAAGGAACATACCTTTGTTACTAAATTCTCATAAGATTCGACCAAATCGCTCATAATTATATCATGGTACGCATTTTGCTCGCTCTGCACTGCAAACAGCTCTTTTTCGGAACGCGGAGCAGACAATACGAAGAATATTGCAATGCGGCCATCCTGCAGATAAATTCTCGTATAGAAATCGTTCACACGTTGTTTCAAATGAACCCGATCTATTTTCTGCGACGAAGATGTTATCGAAAGCTTCTGATGATTTGATTGATGTGAAGTTAAAAGATTTGATTATGATGTGAAGTTGAAAGAATATGTACATATCGTGTCCTCCTCCAAATCGTTTTTCAAACGTCACTCTACTAATTTCTTATTATGCAAAACCTAAAATTCAATCTATGGTGAATCCAACTTATCTGTATAGTTCATAAGTTTGTTAAAATTCAAGACCAGGCTGCTTGCAAAATAGTGTACTCAGATTTTTGAGTTTAAATGTAGTGATATAAACTGGGGATGTTAACAGTTCAAAGGCAGTGTCCCGGCAGATTCGAACCCCAGGGGATGTAGCTGCTGGAGGTTTCTGGTCACCTCATCAACCTCCAGGCCCAGTCCGGCTGGTTGACACGACTTCTCTTACCTGTTCGGCGCGGGACCCCACTACCGCTTTCCGCATAGCGCATGCTATCCAAAGCAAAAATTACATGCGGCAGGGTCTTCGTGCAGGGGCCCCACTGAAACTCTCGTCCGAGCTGCATTTTGGCAACTGGGTAAACGCTCCAAATTCGGCCTTTTCACTCCGTTTCACTCACATCACTTTACGCCGTTCTTTTCACGTTCGTTCTACGTGTCGAAAAGGCTTGAAACATGCAAAAAAGTGAAAGTGCAAAATCTGCCGGGACACTGCCTTTAAAGTTGGTGTAATCAGTAGCACAAGCTAGTCGAAACCAATCAGTTAAAGCATACTTTTATCGAATTCGAAAAGTTCCGCGACGCCCACGACTTCCTTATTGACTTCCGTTGTTCGTAATTTTGAGCAATTGATAGAATGGTGATTACCAGGATAGGCGATCTAAACACAGCATATCACAAACAGATTTCTTTCAAATCCACTTTTAAGAAGTTAATTAAGGACAACTTATACAGTTTAGCCTCAGAAATCATAGATTGCACGGTTTTGTGAAGTGTACCCTTTCATGCTAAAAAAACATCATTTGCAATCACGTAAACTAATCGTATAAGTTGTAAAGCAAAAATCAAAGAGCAGGCACTCATAACTTCGTGTTTGGCAAGAAGTTACTTTAGAAGCAATTTATTGAAGCTAATAGGTGTGCCCGTGTAGCATTTGAGATTAGCATAGAAAAATACCAGTGGCGGTCCGAGGGGGGGGGGGAGCGCGCCCTCCCCCCCCCCCGAGAATGGGTCGCGAAATTTTCGAAAATTGCCTATATGGGTTATAAAAATGTGCAAACGACTTGTTTATTCTTGTAAATAATTAGAATAATTTTTGACATTCTTTTAAAGCCTTATAAAAAAATTTTTTTCTGGGGTGGGGACCCGCAAAAATTTTGTGAAGCACCCCAAAAAATTTTTCGGAGTGCGTGGCTAACGCCACGCACCTTCATTTGAAAAAAATTTTGGCGCCCCCCCCCCCCCCCGGTCCGAAATCCTGAACGCCACTGAAGAATACCTTCGAATGCGAAGAGAAATCTTGGATACAAGACCACGGCATATTTGCTTCACATGTTCCACTATAAGTAAATCAGACAATGTTAGAATTACAGCACACATTAAGAGCAATATTAGTAATATTTTAGCAGATATTACACGTTTTCGCGAAATGGAAGAAGATAATTAGATTGACTACTTCTAAGTTTGTTACACTAGTACCTAGCAAACTGTTATGCTACCATCTTACAGATCTGGGTTCATACATACCTGACGATGGGTGGCTATAACTGACGTTCTGTAGCTGCTAGAAGCAACGGTTCTTGTGCGTATCGATTGCAGCCATGCGACACAACACGAAACGGACCCGCTATAGCTAGCGATGCCGCGCTGCTCTTCGCTACTCGCTGCGCTCGTTGCTGCTTCTTGCCTCTACGCGATATGAAGCTCACTTTTCGTGAGTTTTTCTTAGCATTTCATGCTATCAGCTAATTTCGCTCGGATTTGCTCCTATTTAGCATTATTTGTGTTTTCAATAAATTTCTAAGGTACTTGTTGCAATTTATGACAATTTTGCGAGACTATTAGAAGACAAATGCGTAGGTGAACAAAGAAATCTGAACAAGAGAAACTCCAAAAGATTTCTAAAATCAAAATTAGATTATAAATAGAGTAAGACAAACAGCTAGAGGCATCTATTTATCAAGAAAAATAGTGGGATGTCGCCGGCCCACTTATATAACGGCGATCAATAGACCTAGTTTGATTGTTGTCTCAAGCGCAGTAAGGGTTCATGCTGCGACATTCAACTTAACATCTGTCAAACCATTGTAATTTCTTCAGCAAAGGCAGCATTTGGCCGCTGTGTGCTTATTACAGACAAAACTCTATAGTGTGAACAGTGTGCTATCTCCCATGATTCATAAATAGCGATGAGTTCTCTTTAACTCAATTTTCCACTCATCTATAAAGCTAGGGGAAGCTAGGGGATAAGGGTACTTTGATCTTGCACCTAAAATGCACCCATGCGCAATAGCTAAAAGCAGCTAAAAGCAGCGAAGACAGCAGCGATTTGCGAATGTCCGCTATACGTCTATCGTCGGGTATGTATCAAGCCTTACAGCGCTGATTGTCTTGTTACGAAATACCCTAATTTCACGCGTACAAGGCGCACCATTTTCGATTTTTCAAACGTGCCGCTCAGCCGCCTCGTTTTTTCGGAAAACGAGACTTATGCCGCACGATACTCTTAGGCAATATACAGCGCTGTATGTAGTTTTTTGTACTCGAAGTCCTTTGCCGTGTTTGGGCTGGTGGATTTTCGAAAAAATCTCCCGCGCTTTGTGCGCGTGAAATTAGGGTAGTTCAAAATACTAGAATTTGTCCAAAATAACATTTATTAGAAGAGAGTCATTAATAACTGTTTGAGCCTAATTGTAGACCTGTTGTATCCATAGCATTTGCTCAGGTCAGGTAACATTGTGAATGTGTAAGATATCTTTGTTCTGGAACTGTTTATTTGAAAATACTGTCCAGCACTGGTGTTATAACTGCGAAATAATGATAGAATGTGGACCACCCCAAAAGTAACGATCACATCTGCAATCAAACGAAAAGAGACATACCGTGATTTGGGAGAACTCACAAATGTAAAACAGCGGCCTTACACTTTGCAACCTGATATGCATGTTTATAGGGAATCTATCGCTCAGAGTCGAACTTGTCTGAAAACAACAGCTTGTCTGACCGCAAAATTAAGCAAGAAAATCAGCAAGCGCGTATATCCATGTGCTGGAAAGCATACGCGCGAGCCATAGCGCAAATCTGAAAACGACAACACGCAACAAGTCAAAGACCCTTGAAAAATTATGCGTCTGGAATGTAAGAAAAGCTAAAGTTTCACAAAGCAAAGACTAATCTGCTAAAAATGTTTTGATTACTATATAGCTGCTGCCCTAAGTTTCGAAGCAGGGTAACCAAACTTAAGTTGTCTCTTAGCCAACAACTCTTAAAAGGAACTTATAACAGCGTGGTTTTTTGTACCCCTTCTGAGAATAACTAGTTTCAAAGAAAAGACTATACTTTGCTTGCATCGTCTGGGAGCACTTTATTTTATTTCGTAACAAGCCTTCGTTTTCTCACTCTGCTCAGTTTACGGTTCTATCTCAAAAAGAAAAAAAATGAGTAAAATTCCTTTTTCTTTTCTTTCGTGATATTCATAGGCAGAACGGGATTTCTTCAAAAATGTGTACTGGTGGGAGAATTTGTGCTACATATTGTCTATCAGAACATAATTTTTCAAAACTTTCAATCTACAAATTCTATGAATGAGGGTGACTTGCCAATGCTGTCTTTCTAACATAGAATTTGTAAACGCAAGGCGAACAAACTTTTACTGCATATTGCGAGGGTGAACAAGCCATAGCTTGTTTTTTCTTTTTTTATTTATTTTTTTTCATTTTTTAGTATGGATTCTACTATAGTGGAATCCATACTAAAAAATGAAAAAAATATTCCTTGGTTCTGAAAAGAAATCAGAAAACAAAAAATGCATCTTGCCACAAAAAAGTGAATTAAGTGAGTTCTTTCGAACTTATTGATACCATTCTTTCGTGAAGAAGTTCACTGTAACCCGATAGTATCACTGCTTACATGCAGTGACCATACAATGAGCAGAATTAGTGCAACTCTTCTGAATTTCAGAATGAGTTATGGTTTGTCAAAGTAAAGTTTTGCGAAGACTTCTGCGATCTTTGTCATTAATACAGGATTCTTTCTGCTGCAATAAATTTTGAGTATGCGAACCGTCAGTACTGATGGGTTGAAGTTGAATTTTGAAAACGCTGAAAACTTTGCAACAACTCAATATACTCGGTCGTTACATACATTTTGTTACAGACTTTTTACCGCAGTAAGAGACACACACACTTCTTATTTATTTAGATTACATTCCATAAAGCACGGCAAACTTTACAAGAATGTGTTCAAACATTTGTACTAACGATCCATGCAAGCTCAAAGCCTAGAACTAAAAAGGCACAAAGCTCGAAAAATCGAGGAAAATCGAAACTCCGTAAAATTATAATCTTTCACTTGCTCACAATATACACGGGATGTCCCCAAAAAGTCTCTAATGTTTGATTCTTAAAAACTCTGTTGTCATAGTCTTTTGAAAGACTTTGTTTACCATGCAGTGGCATACCCAGGATTTCCGTTCGGGGGGGGGGAGGGGAGGGGGACAAAAAAAATTTTCGGATGAAGATGCTACGCAGCCACGCAAACCGTTAGCCACGCAAACCCGAAAAATTTTTTGGGACAATTCCCAATTTTCGCGGACCCTTGACCCCGAAATTTCAAAAAAGGGGGCGAAAGTCATTTTAATTATTCACAAGTAAAAAGAA